TTCTCGTGCATCTATTATTATTTTTAAGTGAAGAGACTTTTATCGTACTAATCAGTTCTGTTACGATTTGCTTTTGCTCAATGCGCGTATGATTTACTATAACGTTATCTATATCAACTTGTTTTATTTAGCGGTATCGGTCTTGGCATTGCTCGTGTATTTGCAAAAGCTAAATATAATGTTATTTTCAATGGATTAGAAAAGAATGGTAGTGACATTGCAGCTGATACAGCAAAAGAGTTCAACGTTGGTCACCTTTATTCACCAGCAAATGCATTACATTCCGATCAATTACGAGCAATGATAGATGAAGGTATAGCACGATTCAAACATATCGGTATGTTCTACATTCTATTTTTAATATTTCAAGTTTACTTCTTATTGTAGATGTTCTTATAAATAATTGTGGCATTCAACATGTTTCACCAATTGAAAATTTTCCGGATAATAAATGGGATGATGTTCTTCGTATCAACTTGACATCAGCATTTATTTTAACAAAAGCTTTGATGAAACCAATGAAAGAAAAAAAATTCGGTCGGATAATCAACGTTGCATCCGCACATGGATTATTTGCTAGTGAATATAAATCGGCTTATGTTGCTGCTAAACATGGTTTATTGGGATTAACAAAAGTAACAGCTCTAGAAGGAGCCCCATTTAATATTAACTGTAACGCAATTTGTCCTGGTTATGTTCGAACACCACTTGTCGATGCACAAATACGTGATCAGGCAAAGTCACACGATATTTCTGGTAGATTAATTTTTTCAAATATTATTTTATAAATAATTCTTTTTATAAATATTTTAGAAGCGGAAGTAATCCCACGTGTATTTCTTCAGAAACACTCCGTAAAAAAGTTTGTTCCGGTGGAACTTATTGGAAATCTTGCTGTTTTACTTGCTGATGAAAATAGTGCTACATTGTAAGTTTATTTTAGAATACCAACCAAAACAATCTTGAATATGAGATGACTTTTTAATAGATGATTTCATTAGAAATTTATATGAATTACTGAAAAAAAAATATACGACGTTTGTAGATAAGTAAAAAACACAATGATTTCATTTAGTTCATTAGATATCTATTGCTATTGATTATGAATCAAATTTTGATTTAATAAAGATTGTGCTAGTAGTTATTTATCTATGTTTTTTTTTGATTTATATAATTACAATTTTTTTTTATTTAGAACTGGTACAGCAATTCCTGTTGATGGTGGTTGGTCTGCACAATAAATCAAACAAATATATAATCTCTTATTATAGCTTTCGATAACAATTATATTTCCGTCCTAATATTATTAGATTCACTATTTTTATCCTTAATAAACTTCTTCTCATGTCAGTCACTGAACCATACGGCTAGTTATTCTTCATGTAATATTTATACGCCAATGCAAGGGAATGAGAAAAAAAAATTCATCACTTCATTAGTGTAACTGCTTGACTTCAGTCGTCTCGTCATATTTTTTCTCAGTTTGAATATGTTGTGATCGATGGATATGCATATGTAAGTTTCATGTAGGAGGATAGAAATATTTGATTTAAATAAACAATATCATATTACTATCAGAACTATGTCCTATTGCTATATAGAAAAATATTTATAGAATTATGTATGATTTCACTCTAATAAGAAGCCGATGATAATACTGATGTTGTTTCTTCGTTTGCATGTCATTCAAATTAAATATATGTGCAGGTAGGCATATAATCGAAACTTTCGGTAGAAATTATTACTTGTCATTCTCTCATTTCCTTTTCTTTTGTTTTACACTATGTTTTCTTTAATTTTCTAAAGGATGTCAGTATGAATAATCAAAATAGTTAAATTAGTATAAGAATTCACCCACAGTGTATATATACATAGAAGTATACTTGTATTAACTGAAGTGATTATTTCATTAAATCTACAATAGAAATAGAGGTCAATACAATCTAATTCTTTCGTTCAGTATAATATGATTTATATATTATTATTTTAGCATGTCAATAATTTACATATATGCCCGATAATTGAATAATACACAAAGCGTAGAAATTTGACTAGGTTACGATAAGAAAACACGCAACTCCAAATATAGCCGTGTCACAAATAATTTATGTTTAAAGAAGGGATTACTATAGTTTTGTATAAGTTTACAATTGAATTTCTATGATTTATGATAGGACGTTGTGTAATGCTTTGTATTTCATTTTTTTGTGTAGTAATAATTTATAGATTTGTACTTTCCGTTTATTTCTGAAATGAATCAGAAAATGAGTTGAACCGCTTAGTCATCTTACATGCCAAGACTATATTATTAATTAAATGATTAATGTCACTATTTAAAAAAAAATATGTAGCAAATACTAGTTTTCTTTTTGAATGAATTTTATAATATATTAAAGAAAAATTACGTGCTGATATCTTACGGAAAGAGGAATCTAACACATTTTAAAATAATTTCTTTGATTAATACCTTCAAAGAAAGTGTGTTCATGATAAAATTTGTATCATTAAGCGTTTGTCTATTTTTAACACATGATCTTGTGTTATTTCCTTCTTCAATAGGTATTTTTAATCGAAATAGAATATTAAATTAGGATTTTTGTCTTACATGTACTGTGATAGAATACAAAAAAGGTTTTCCCATAAAAATAAACTATTCTGAAATACGAGAAAACATCCGATATTTACTATTATTATCTAAACAAAGAAGTATATTCTATTTGAATTTATCTCATATTCATAAATGGTAATTTTCGCATAAGTTTATTCCTTGTCAAAAATTTGTTTCGAGAAAATATAGTCATAATGACATTTACGTATGATTAATTTACAGAATATATATAACAAATAATACCACTGAAGTGTATATATTTTTTTTCTGTCATTCGGATCATCTTTCTAATCACAATGAATTAGATTGTCTGTTGAAGTCAGTGTTTATTTTAGAGAAAAAAATTAATCTAAATAGGTGTTATATCAGTATGTCATTATATATGTAACACCTTTGCTACCATTGATTGAATTTCATCTAATTATTATTAAAGCATTTACCGAGTTTTCTTTTGTAAATAAAATGGCTCGTGCCGTCTTAAAAGATTCTAGGTATATATCGAAACAATAACATGAACGTTCTATTAACAATATGTTTTATTCTTTCATTATAAGAAGATATAGTTTTTCTCTTCACATTTTCTTGTTTTTTGTTTGTCTCACAGATAGAGGAAAAGATAGGAATGATAAAAAGATGATGCCTGACATACATAATTCTCAATGTTTCTGTTTTTTTTCTCTTGAGAAACTCTGTCATAATCTCTATTGATGAATAGAATTTCTTATTTCTATAATAATAGAGTGTTATATACGAGCTTTAGAAGAGAATACTTGATGAGATTTTCAATAAATTAGTATCGAATAACCAAAATAGAAGTAAACATATATACATATAGCACTAAATTGACTCTACACTTATAAGATATTTGAATTCTCTAGGTAAGTTTTTATATTAAACTAGTGAAAAGTATCTTCCATTCCTTTTATATATAACACTTATTTTCGTATCAAAATATTGTTATATTCTTATTTACATATAAAAGCGTAATTCTTTTTTTCTCATTCATATACATGATATATGAGATATCTAAACTATTTCTCGATAATTATATATTCACGAATTGTACTCTAACTAAGTAACTATTAAGTTAATGGTTTTTTGTAGACATCATTGATGTGTGTGAAATAAATATTATAAAACTTGCTATCGACAATAGCTGTCGATGTATTCAGAAGAATTTCTTAAAGGTAACTGTCTCAAATAACACCTAAGAGCGATGTTATTACCATGTTTTTTTTATCTGTTGACAACAATCGTTATATCAAAAGAGATACTTCATCGTCTATGTCTATTCAGTTTTTTAGCTGTCATAATTATTGTTGAAACTAAAAATAAATTTAATTACAGAAAGTTTCCTATAAATCATAAACCAAGCGAATATGACGGCACTTGTTGTAATTACTTCATTAATGTAGACATCTGGCATGCACAAAGAAGACTTAATTTTATAATTATCATGATTATATGTTCATTTTGTTTTTTTTTTCTCATATTATGTTGTTTCTATTTTATATATATATGAATTGAATAGATAAGCGTCATACTTAATCTTTGATACAAATTTGTATTCAATTTAAACATATGAATATCACACACAATAGTTCATTATTAACAACAAAAGCAAACTGTTCATTACAGGAGCGTGTGTATTCATCAGATTATTTATTTTTTAAATTTTTAAATTCAAATTATTTACGTATACTTATTGGTCCTGGTATTTTCTTAAATACATTGTGTGTTATTGTTCTATCGCGACCAAGATTATCAAATAAATCTACAACAATATTTTTCTTACGTTTTCTTGCAATCTTTGATATTTTAGCTATTACATTGAAATATGTTCGAGTGGAACTCAATTATCAATCAAGTATTAGAGAAAACGACATGTTTATAATGACTACTCCTCTTTGTAAAGGATTGTATGTATGTATGGGTGCTAGTATTTCAATTACCATGTGGACTATTGTTTTAATGAGTGTGTAAGTAATTAAAGAAGTTAAAAGGAATCAAGGACATATATATATATATATATATTATTTTTTTGTAGAGATAAAGCTATTGCTGTTAGTTATCCACTTAAATCCAGTATATGGTTAACACAAAAAAGAGTATCTTATATATGTTATCTTACAAGTCTTATACTTTTACTTGCTAATCTATCGTTTATTTCATTTGCTGAACAAGGACGAACACGACACAATAAATTATTTTGTGGATTAAATCAAGATAAAAATCCTTTAATATTTGACAGTATTACAGCTTCAATTTTGCCAATGAGTAAGTATTTATAGACTAAACTATCTACAAAAATTTATGCATTCTTTCCGGACAAATGTTTTTGATCAAGATAGTAGAATTAAAAAAGTATAAAAATTATCAAAAGTGCAGATTAAACAATTTCTTTTTGTAGACAATTAGTGTAATTCGAACGAGTATAGAATAATAAGTTGAATCTATAAAGAAAAGTATGAATTATATAATCAAAAGTTGATTTAGTTATGATACATCATTCATGTAGGAGTAGACTTTATTCTTTTTTATTCTTTGATGTACGTCAAATGTTAATTAGTATACAGAACATTTAACATCATCGATTTTAATTAATATACAAGCATGTTATACTGTCAAAAAACTAGTCTTTTATATTTTTTTTTCTTTTCCTATTCATAATGACGTTCTATATTTAAAAAAAAGAATGCTCAATAGAATTTTCTAGGTAATAATTTCATTGGTTCGTATATTCATTTATTGAATAGAATTTGTCCTGTCATTTTTTAAAATAATTCTCATTGAATAATAATCAATCAAATTTAATAGAGCGACAAAGTGTCGTCAGTCGTTTATTGTTGACTTTTATAATTAAAAAGCATTTTTTTAATCATTATTTATTAACATTAGTAACCTGTCATTGGTTCATATAGTTCATTTTTGAAATTCAGTATATTCTTATTCACAATAAAAATATCCGCATAAATAAAAAAAAGGTCAAAACTGATATAAATCTAGGTCCATTTCTACTTCAGTGCTATTTAAGAATACCTATCAGCTACTGTAAATCTATAAATAATCAATTATAATATAGCAATGCCAACCTACGCTAACTGATCGACCATGTAGAAATTCTGAAAACATTAGTTATTAAATCCGAATCAGTGACCCGATTTTTTTTGTTAATAATTTTGGTCAAGTTTATGATAAACAAGTCTGATTTTTAACTAATATATATATTAATTAAAGAAGATTCTAGAGTGCATAAAATTGTTGTTAGATTTCTTTCACATTCTCGAATGTCTTAATTATTAGGATGCTTTATAATAGTTATTGTAGAGCTGGTGGGCTTCAAAGTTTTGAAATTGGCAGGTTCATATGAAAAGTAATAGCGATTTACAACTAGATTATTATAAACTTATTCTCAAGATTGCTTGAAAATTATGTAGGATGTATGACATAAATCTCAGGATAATGAATGGGTTGTTTAAGAAACAGCTAGTCTAAGTTTTATTGACCATATTATTATTGTAGTAAACGTCTGAACTTCCTCGACAGTTGTGCCTTAAAATATTTTCTTAAAGAAAACTTATATCGATAGTTTCTCTGTACCACCAATCGGATAAGTATAGTCTGTACAACATATGTCTATGATAAGATTTTAATGAACAGTTTTTAGATATATTTTTTTCAAAATTTGAATAATATTCATTTCCGTTTCATTCGTGTTAATTATACATAAATGTGTCAATGTTCAATATAATAGATAAACTAACGAAGTTAATCATTTTCTTTTTGGTTTTAGCTTTAACTACAGCTGCTAATATTATTATTGCTGTTACTTTACATTATGTTTCTCGTAATACATTTAATTGGCCTTCAAAAAAAGGAAAATCAGATATAAATAGATCGGAATTGGATATAACAAAATCAAAACGTTCACCATCACCATATCCTAATCAAACTTCATTAGCTGCTCCACTTACAAATGATACAAGTCTAGCATCTAAACGACGTACAAGTGCTCAAGTAACGCGTATGCTTTTTGCAGTAACATTATCATTAATATTATTTAACCTACCTAATTCAGTTATATATTTATTTTCAAAAAGAATTAATGCAAAAGGATTATTCACTGGACGTGATTGTTTAACAATTAGTAATTATGAAATTAAATTATATCAAATTGATTTTATGTTAAGTGTTATACAAGATATCCTATCGGATTTACCGCATATAGTGAACTTTTTTCTTTATTGTTTAGCTGGAAAAAAATTTCGAAGTATTATTCTAGATGAAGTTCAACACTTTTTAGTTGGAATTCATTTAATTAAACGAAAGCAAAAACGTTATGTTCAGGCTAATCATATTATTAGTACTGATTCAGGAAATACAACACGTTTAAATAGAAGTCATAGACACGGATCATTAACAAGATCTTTAGTACAATTACAGCAACTGTGAATATTTTTATTTAATGATATAACAAAGAAATTATTTCGATTGTGAGAAAAATGTTTAGTTCGACTTTATTTTAAATTGTATTAATATATCTTTTCTTTTTTTTCTGTTTTAATTTTTGTAAATATATAATCTCAATTCCATGTGAAATAAAAAGAAAATATATTTTATTCTTATCAATTTTGTTGGCATTTGTTACAAGCAGAGATTGTAGTAATGGGTCTGATTATTGAATAAAGGTCAAAATTTTAAGATTGTTTGTTTAAAACGCGTGCCATTACTACATTTAACATTGAAAATATTGCTTGTCGTCATATGCTCTTCATCATCTCTTTCTTTTTCTTGTCCGTTGTTACTGTTTCTATTGACCTTGTTAAACTACTTAATATACTCGAAATGGAAGAACAGTAGTATAGATTATACATTTATGATTGTACTTTAAACTAAATGTCCGTACAGTTGATCAAATGATTAAAACCACAATACCAGCAAATCCATTCGAACAGTTTTTATCATCTTACGAAGAAAATTCTGGTAAGTTATATTTGCATAAGGAAGTACCTAACTTCTTTAGTGAAAAGAAAATAGAATATTTAGCTCTTTAATTTATGATAATAATTTCCGTTTGTCAATCAAGAATAGTAACTCAACAATGTACTTTTAAAGAATATCAAGTTGACCGTTTGAAAATAGTTTTTTGATGAATTCTTATTTACGGAAATATGAAATTATAACAATTATTTTATTTTTATTTATAGATTCTATTGATTACCATGATGAAATTCGATCAATTCTTGTCTATATTGGTCTCTTTACTGTTATTTTATGTTTCTTTTTGTTACTATTTTCATTAATTGGCAAATGTCTAAAAATATTCAATGATGAAACAATATCTACAGCTCAAAGTACATTAATTAAAAATTTATAAAACAATATCTAACCGATTATTTTTAGAAACACAAGTACAATTCAAATATCGTCCTAATTTCTCGGCAAGTCGACAAACTAGTGTATCATCAATTTCATCTGCATCATCCCTAATTAATTATCACTCATCATCTAAACCTTCATTATCTACAACAATTCGAATGCTTCAATATAAAGAACAACAATTATCACCTATTGTTCATGTATAAATCTATAATGTCCTAATGCATATAAAAAATTTTTATATTACTTTATGATTAGTCTGAAAGATCAAATAATAATAATAAAAAGAATTAAGATAGAAAGTGATTTTCAATAAGAAAAATTAATAGTGTAAAAAATATAAAAAATAGTCTTTACAATTATATTTGGATAGAAAATCAATGATATATTCTTTGAAAATTTAACAATAAATATAATAAGCTAAATCAAATCTTAAGCAATCTCATGAAATAATCGGTTTTTGAATGTTTCAATACAATGAACAGTAAGGAAGTTGTAAGAGTCATTCATATAGAATATTTCAAAGATAATTATATTTATAAAGTTATAGACATATTAAATAATTCAAATATTCTATTCTAACATAAGCATTTTATATATTTAGTTGTACTTCTATTTCATCCAGTAATTTATTAATAAAATTTTTTAGAACGTTTGAAATAAGATTAATTTATCGACATTTCGGAATATTTTGTTACTTGAACTTCTGTGAACATTGGACACAGTCATAGTTTAATGTGTCTTTTCTTCCATTTGATAATATGATACTGTGTATGACTAGAGACTAAAACTAACACTCTTAAAATCAATGAATTAGAAATTATATAAATATGTTTGGATGTGTTGTTTTATGAAATAGTCCTTGAAAAAACCCAGATGACAAATATTTGATGTTTGCCAATAAATTTCATATAGAACCTCTATATGAATAATATTTTGTCATTTTATAATGCACTATGTGTCGAATTTTTTTTTTCATCTACTAATGGCTTCCGGCGGTAATACAATAAAGAATCCTGTTTTGTAAAAACAATATAAATACTTGATGTATAACGTTTTTCTGATGATTACTGTGTATTTACTATTAATCTTGAGAAAAAAAAAGATCGAATGTTCCAACAAATATCTTGATGACTTTTTTTATTGTACTCAGAAAAATAAAATTATTATTATAGGAACTATCATATTGATTGTAGTGACATTAAATGACAACAAAAAAATTTCAATATCCAGTATTAATTCTATATTTAATGTTCAATAATATGTCATATTCATGAAATTAATCAATTCATTTTCTCTATAAATTAAAATTAATATTCTTCATTTTATTTAATGATTTTTTAATTAAATTTTATAAGGTATTGAGAATAATAGGAAAATAGCGGCACCAATCATATTAGTTATTTAAAAATAGAAATGAAACCTAAAGTAATCTTTGCTCTTTCAGTACAATTTAACACGTATATTTTTCTTAACGAGTATAAAATAAGTTTTACATGCAAATTAACATCATTTTTTTTCTCGAAATAAATTTTAATAAGCATGTTGTTGTCCTACATTATCTCTAAAATTATAATTATTCATTACATATTTCTGTCTTGTATAAATCCAGGAAATATGTTCGAATTAACATATTTTTATTAATTTAGTTTTCTCCTATTTTTACACATTTAATGAATAAAATTTTTTTTTTCAAGATCTCATGTTTATTAAAATATCGAATAAATTGTTTTTGGCTTATTTTAATTAAACCAGACATGGCCAGATTTGTTTTTTTAAAGCAATAAAAAGAAAATACAAGTTTTAAATAACACACGTACTTTTATTGTCCCTGACTACATGCAAGGTGAGTATACTTAGAGATTAAATAGAAAGAAAAATGAGAACTTTTTTTTTTCTTCTACTTATATTTTTATAATATCTATGTGCGTAAATGCAACTCAGAATAACGGCAGATCATTAGAGGAAGTCAATAACTACATCAAAAATAGCATTTACATCAATTATAAAAGTTTTTTAGACGAGAATTACATGTAGAATAAAAGTTAATGAGATGAAAGACATACTAAACTAAAAAGCTGTCAACATCATCTTAATGCGTATGTTTACGACAATGAATGACATTTAATCAAAAGCGTTTTTCTTTTTTTTTCCGATGGAATAAAAAAAATAAGAAATACTACATTATGTTCGTTAGACAATCGATATGAATGACGTCAATCGTTGTTCATTCGATCTCCGGTAAAAGATTAAAACAAAATCTTCTTTTACTGACAAACAGATGAAAATTTAATTATGAATATATATTTATAGTTGACATAGATCTTCCTACGAGGAATATGAGAATTAATAAAGTACACCCATGCTGTTAATATAAATGCGTATATCTTACAATTTATTGAACACATTCATATTATTAATTTATTTATCTGTTATATTGTACACGAGCGAAAAAACGAAAATACGCAATTCATTTAGTGATTAAGTACTATAACTACAAGCAAAAAGAAAAGATTTATTGCTTTTAATCAAATAGCGTTCTTCATATTCTATTTAAAGACAGATTTTAATTATTATTATTATTTTACCAATCATTGGCGCTATACGGGTGAGAGCGTAAGGATTAATCGAAAAAAATAAAATAATACATTAATCAGCAATCACATTGATTTAGGAAGGTTATTAGAAAAAAGAGAAAGTAATCGATAGTCTACGATTTTTCTTCTTCTTGTAAATAGATTACTGTCTTTAATTTATATAATCAGAATGTAATATATACATTTTCTTTAGATAATAACCTTTTAGAATAAATAAATATTAAATGACATACAGACACGTCGATATAATGTGTAGGCTTTTTATCATACAGAATTTCTCCGATATATCTCCAACGGATATTAATTGCAATAGTATACGAAAAAACATTTTCTTTATTTTTTTTTCTTCATTCATTACTTTTCTCTCGGGAGCTGTTACATTTATTTTCTTTTTCGATGATAATAAAAAAAAGAAAAAGAAATAAACTCAGTAAACTTTTTGTATATACAGTGGAAAGTCATAAAACATTTTTGTAAGATTAAAAAAATATTTTTGGTATTTATCCTAGTGAAGAAAATAAAAAGGCATTTTTAATTTTCATTCTTTACTCATAGATATATGATATGTTTAATATCATATTTACATGACATTTTTATTTTATTTTCAAACTAGACAACTATTTCCTTCCTATTTCAATTTTTATTATTCCAAAAAACAAAATTTATGCAACATCATTACTGAATAATCGATGTTTTTTCGACCTATTTTTTCTCCAAAATATTGTACCACAATTCTTTTTATTTTTTTTGTGACTTTATTTGTCATGTCCTCACTCTCGAGTGTAATCTGAGATGTTTTTTTCGATAAGGATCATAATGATACAAACATGTAGATTAGAATGATATGAATATAATATAATTCTTTTAATCATGATCTATATGCCCCTATTCGAATAGATAATAAAAAATACTTTATTAGAGTTATTCTCTCTTGATCTATTTTTGTGTAGTAGTCACAATGATGACAGCTGATGGTTTCTCATAGGATGCTGAGTGCGAGGAAAATAAGACGAAGAAGAAGAGAAAAAGAAAAGCAAAAGAGAAGAACCACCCTCCCCACTTGAAAAACAAACGCGAGCGAACGAATAAATAAGCAAGAAAAGAAAATTTTCTTTTACACGTATACACACACATTACCATACTCCGACTGTGTTCATCATCATTGTCGGGTCCGATAAGAAAATTGTTGTTCGTCTTATTTTTTTTCTCTACTATTAGAATAAATATATGTGGGTTTTGTCAGCAACGATTTGACGGTCTCTCCCTCCCTTACTCTCTCTCTCTCTGTCTCTCTTTCCCTTTTTTTCTGATTGCTTATCAACACTTACTTTTTTTTCTTCGTTATTGTCTTTATCATTAGTATAGGTGTATTTATATATTTAGTTTTCTTTTTATTACAGGATGCAAGAAACACCAGCAATTCTTCTATCCAAACAAAATCACAAAACACTAGAGAATACCTCGTTATTTTTCATCTGTCATTTATACTTTGAATTATGATTAGATGTTTTTTATGAAAAAAAATATAATATAGAAAAACAAGGTGACATATTATTATTATTACAGTGTTATTTACAACGACTTATCTTTTTTAAATATTAAAAACTATGAGAAAATTCTTTGGTCAAAAGTCAAAACAAAAAACATCATCATCATCATCAACAACGGGATCCACTATTATTATGCCATTTTTACCAGTTAATAAAGATGAAGAAAAACATATATCAAATTCGACATTAAATTATAATACAGACATCACAACAACAACAACAACTTCAGAAAATGATGTTAAAACTAATGATGATAATTCAATATTGACAGAAACATCAATTGAGAATTCCATAAGGCATGATGATCATGGTGAAAAATCCACAAAATTATTTGTTGTTATTTCAGGTAAATATCTATTAATTTCGGATAAATAAATATATATATACATTTGTTATTAGATGCTGATTCAACAAGTACGCCATTAATAACAACTGAAACAGCTGATGGTCGATTATTAAATGTCGATGAATGTGAAATGAATGAATCAATAACAGCATTACCATTACGCCAACGCTCATCAACTTATTCTAATCAACAATATCTTCGCCCACGAGATCAAAATTCAAAAAAAATTATGAAAGATTCTATTCGTCGTCGAAGTTGGATTATATTTCAAACGAATAGTTGTCCATCACCAGATGTTGTTTTACAAAATCAACAAAATACAAATTCGTTTCGATTACGTCGTTTTCGTTTAGGTCTTTCAGAGCCAAATTTAAATTCTTTACAAATGAATCAATCAACATCATCAAGTAGAACATCTTCACGAACATTATCATCCGCAACAAATAATACAATGCAATCATTATCTCGTCGTTCAAGTGCACGTCGTCCAAATTTATCGAGTTTAAATTTAATTAATTTAAAACATGCATTTCGAAAACAATTATCTCCACGTCCACAAACACTTTCAACATTATTACCTGATTCAAATCAAGATTCACATAGTCTTGATGATAATACAAATCGTCGTTGGTCATTAACATCAGTTCCATCATCAAGTGGTTATGGTACAACATCACCACCAAGTTCACAATATTCATCATTTGAACGTCTTCAACATCAACATCATATATGTACATGTAAACAACATTCATCGGATACAAATCCACATGATGATTATGAACATTTAGAATCACGTTCAATATCAATGTCATTACTTGATGCAAATCTTTCATCATCACCAAGTAAAATGATGCTTATGTTTGATCAAGATATCAATACAATGGCCTATATTTATAAAGAACGTTATCCAAAAGCTAAAGTACAAATGGAAGAACGTTTACAAAATTTTATTGATACATATAAATTAATTGATAAATTTGATTATTGTTCCGATGGTTCAGCGCGATTTATACATAATCAAATAATTGAATTAGCAAAAGATTGTTTAGAAAAATCAACAAATGATTTAATAACAACATTATATTTTAATGAAATGAATGATAATCTTGAAAGATTATTATTAAATGCTAATGAAAAATGTCCACAAGCTATTGAAAATTTACAAACAGTTGTACGAAAATTATTATTAACAACAGCAAGATCAGCACGTCTTCTTGAATGTTTAAATTTTGATCCCGAAGATTTTTTACGTACATTAGAACAAGTTGAATATCAAGCTAAAACTATAACAGATCTTAAACAAGATATACCCAAATATATTTGCTCAAAACTTAATCTTGAAAGAAATCCACTTGATATTGTTGATGGTTTACAGGTAATTAAAATTTTGTTTTTCTCTTTTTGTAACACATCCTTGACATTTATAATATAAAAAATTATTTCGTGATGAAAGAAAGGTCATATGAATTGCTATATATATAAAAAAAAACTTTTATTATATAAATGATAAATTATTCACAAATACTATTCCAGGTCTAAACTTCTAATTCCGTTTTTTATTTATTAGAAATTCTTTTCTTAGATAAAGACTACATTCATTAAAAAAGATTAGAATAAAAAAAAACTGTCAGATAGTATTAAAAATAAGATAAGATGGATGAGATTATATTAGATTTTTCTTTTGTTTTTAGGTGAATGAATCAGAAACGATTGAAGAAAAAAATTTACCAAATATTTTATTATCAGAAAATGAAAATGAATCATTAACTGAATTGAATTATCTAACTATTACGCCTAATACAATATTTCCACCTCTTGAACGTTCACCATCAATGAAAGGTCCATGTGAAGAAGATTTTGAAATTTTAAAATTAATTTCTAATGGTGCCTATGGTGCTGTTCATTTAGTGAAACATCGTCAAACTCAAGAACGTTATGCTTTGAAAAAAATTTCTAAAACAAATTTACTTTTACGAAATCAAATTGAACAAGCATTTGTTGAACGTGATATAATGACATTTACAGATAATCCATTTGTTGTTGCACTTCTATGTACATTTGAAACAAAAAATCATTTATGTCTTGTTATGGAATATGTTGAAGGTGGTGATGTTGCTACATTACTAAAAAATATTGGTGGACCATTAAATGTAGATATTGCACGAATGTATTTTGCTGAAACAACATTAGCTGTAGAATATTTACATTCCTATGGAATTATACATAGAGATCTTAAACCAGATAATCTTCTTATAACAGCAATTGGACATATAAAACTAACTGATTTTGGTTTATCAAAAATTGGTTTAATGTCTTTAACAACAAGTTTCTATGAAAAACTTATTGATAAAGAAACAAAAACATTTAATGATAAACAAATATGTGGTACACCATCCTATATAGCACCTGAAGTTATATTACGACAAGGTTATGGTAAACCTGTTGATTGGTGGAGTATGGGAATAATTCTTTATGAATTTTTAGTTGGTATACCACCATTTACAGGTAATACAGCTGATGATTTATTTGCAAATGTTATTAATGGACAAATTGATTGGAATGATTTAATATCTGATATTGATGAAAATTCATCGGAAGAATTTATTTATACAGATGCAAAAAATTTAATTGAACAATTACTTGAACATGAACCATCAAAACGTTTAGGTACATTAGGTGGTGCATATGAAATTCGTACACATGCATTTTGTTCTTGTATTAATTGGAATACATTATTACGTGAAAAAGCTGATTTTGTACCTGTATTAGAATCACCAGATGATACATCTTATTTTGATACAAGACAAGATCGTTATAAACATTCAGATGATGACGATAGTTTATCATCATCAACAACAGCAAATAATGATTCCGATTCCTTATTTGCATCATTTTCTTCAGTTTCAATGAAATATGTATCCGAATTATCCGGAACACATAAACCACGTAAACAAGATAATGATTCCACATCATCAACAGATATATCAAGAGCAAATTCATGTACAGATTCTCTTAATTCAAATAATATTATTCATAGTGATTCACAAAATGATTTTCAAGCACTGCCTATGACTGATGAAAAAGGTAATGATAACTTTAGATATCTATAAATTCTTCTATCTTAATCTCTATAATTAACAAAAAAAAAGGCTACAAAGTTATATCTTTTAAGACCCTTTAGCAATAATTGATATTCTTTGAGTATTTATTATTAGCTTTATTTGAAGAGTTTTTATGATTGATAAATAGAGATTTTCTATTAAAATGTATTTTAGTTGAATCACGTCCGAGTGGACCCATATTTGGTTCGGATATATTCGAACCAATCGTAATTTCATCTGATGAATCTGAAACTTCACCAAAAAAAATCAATTCATCATCATCATCTCCAACATCATTTCAAAAAATATTAAATATAGATGATAAAAAATTATCCGTATCATCTACAAAACATTATAAACAACGAAAAATCTCGATTAAATTACTTGAACAACAAAATTCTGCCGATAGTGGTGATGATAATCATCAACAAGAAAAAAATAAATATCGTTCACATAAAAAAACTCGAATACCACGTGTTTTATCTCCAATACAATCAAAAATACCTACACCTATTCTATCAATATCAAATGAAAATTGCCAAAACTCATTTTCATCTTATAAATCAGTGAATTATAACAATCAACAACGTAGTTTTCCACGATCACTTTCCAAATCATTTTCATCCTCATCTTCATCTTCATCTCCACCACCACCGCCAATTTGTATTAATACTCAGGTACATAAAACAAACAAACTGTCATTTCTAATCAAAATATAATTTATTTAGGATGATCGTTTGCATCGCCATATGCACCGGCATAATATGGCTGTTTCACCACTTGAACGTGATACAACGTTGAAGGGTAAACAACAAAATTCATATTCAGCATCAATTCAGTCATTAAAAAATAATCTTCGACCACCAATTATTATTCGTCGTGGTCCACGTAGTTTTGGTTTTACGTTACGTGCTGTTAAAGTCTTTCATGGAAATACAGATTACTATACAACACAACATGTTGTTATTGCTGTTCAAGGTCCAGCTGAAGAAGCTGGTTTAAAACCGAATGATGTTATAACACATGTTAATGAACGACCAGTTGCTGGTTTATTACATTCGGAAGTTGTGAAATTAATTCTTAGTGGTTCACAAGTATTATCTATATGTTCAATACCTTGTTCAGAAACTCAAATACGTACTGGTGGAAGACGTCGATCACCATCGAAACAAAAACTTCGTTATCAATATCAATCAGAAAAAAAAATTACAATAAATAATAATAATAATCATCAATCATATTGTCAAAAACATCAAATGAATTCATCAGGAAATCATACATTAAGTACAAATGGAAATAATTCAAATAAAAAACATCAACATAATACTTCATTATTTCGACGTTTAAGTGAAAGAAGAGTTGCTCGTGATATTGAAGCAGCTGCTGCTGCTGCAGGTGCTTCATTAACAATACCATCAACAACATATACAAATACAAATAATAATCATAATACATTAACAACAACAAATACAAATATTCTTTCGTCTTCTTTACCAGCTCTTGTATTTAATCAGTTAACAGCTGATAATAATAATGAACAATCGTGTTCTTCACATCAACAAGTTGATCCTTCAGAATGGCCATCACATAATCAATCTCTTCTATCTATCAATGAATCTAATTTACCACAATCAACTCTATTACCATCAATTGTTAAACAAAAATCTCAAGTTAGTATATTGAAAAGTACCAAAAAATGAATAAACTTCTTTTTTGAATTTTATAGAATACACTTTCACCTTTGGTTAAATCCATATCATCATCTGAACAACCTGTTCGTCAATCTCTTTGTAAAACTATATCCGAACCACCACGTGGTTCCTATCAACATAGTACTAGTCAAAATGAAATTCAATTTCCGGTAAACAACGATATTAATAAACAAAACTAATTGATTCTAACATATGTGTGCACATTCTTTGCTTTAATAAAACTATTTTAATTACACTTGTCTGATTATATATATATATTTCTTTTTTAATAATCATTCTATCAATACTAATTATACAAGGTGATTAACTTTTTCTTTCTATAGAATTATTTTTTTAAATATATATATATTTATTCTTTAGCCTCGACGAAATTATTATAATCAATCTTATTATTATCATCATCCACAAACGGCTTTATTACCTAGAAAAAAACTTGTAAATCAAAAAGCTGTTTTTCGATCGTCACCACCGGTACAATTTCAATCTCGACTTATATGGGAAAATAATCTCACTTGGAATAATCCATCATATTATCTTGATCAGTCAACATATAAAAATATCGATAATGATATTTCAAATCCGGTTGTTTCTTCTCCTAAATTTCGTTATCGACGAAAATAAATGTACATATAACTAATTATATATGTATATGTCGAGCTATTCTTGTATATGAAATGAATCTAATAGCTTATTTTTGTCTTTCAAGTAATCAGTTTTTCTTTCTTTTGAACAAAAATATTCTAAGTCGAATAATTATCTTGCTTTTTTGTATTCTCCATAGAACTTGTAATTTTGATTATGTTTTATTTATTTTCAAGATGTGATGTGTTATTCAAATATAATAATAATAATAAGTCTTATGAACATGTATGCTAAAAATAAAGATTTTTCATTACATAAATGAAATTCCTGAAAATATCGCAAAGTCTATTGTCAAAAATGTTATTTCTGAATTTTTGTCTATTACATAATCAAGAGTTTTATTGTTAGTAATGGAATTTGTCAATAAATTTACATTCCTTTGTTGTCAAAATTGCCATCCTATGACAATATTCAGTTTCAATTTACTAAACAGCATTCTTTCATTAATGACTTTTTGTATCAAAAGGAAAAAATCACGCAATGTTGGCTGAGATTTTCAGTTATTTAATTATTACTAAGGATATCACATACAATTCTATGTTTTCTTATTTTTGTTTTAAGTGAATGTACTTGATAGAAATATAATATATATTTTTTGTTTTGAGTTCTTGGAAGAACTTGTTGAGTGGCATCCGAACGTTAGTTATAACGGAAAAAAATTTAAGTGCAATTTTACTATTATAAGACTAGTATCCGAACTGATTGAAAAATATACAGAGTACGATAGTTATTATTATAGATAATTTCCTAGTTGCGAAAGTAACATGAGCAAAATGAAATTTACAGCAAATTTTCGAGACGTCTGTCTGATGATCAAAGAGGAATAATTGCTTGTATAAAAGCAAATTTTAATAGAGGAAAGACTAAACAATACTCTGATCGTATTTCTTTTGACTATCTATCAGCATCTTTATGATCCAATTCATCATCATCACTATTCAATTAAAGTTAAAGAAGAATAATGCTCATGATGTATTACTAAATATTCATTAATCTTAGAAACACTTATTCTATGAACAATTGAACCAATATAATCATCTGTACATTTTATGTCTTTTTCTCTTGACATATAACATCAACATAGATTCATAGGCTCATCAAAAAAAGTAAACGCTGAACATGAAAAACGAGCATCCATCGACAAAGGTCATTTTTTTATCTAGGCATCTTTCATGTGAGACTTCATCGATTATACTTGAGCAGTTATTCCACTGCATTATCAATAGTTTTACAAAAAAACTGATTAGGCGCCATTAAGATGATAATCATATGTTGACTCCAATTTCGATGTACTTTTATACCTTTTTTTTCGAATGATGATGATGATGATAGAAAAAGTCTGCACTCTTTCATCTTAAGAATGTATTAAATATTGAGAAAATCGTTAAATATATGAATTGTTTATTACTATGAAGGTTTATTGATCTAATTAGACGTTAATAAAACTAATAAATCGTTTTTTTTTGATACAGTTGATTGAGTAACAAGGTGATATGTTAAACATATGGAAGGTAAATTCTTTAAAAAGTGATATATGACAAGTGAACATCTGTTTCCTTATTATTTTTTTTCAAATAACAAAACGATAGGCGTATAGTAAATGTTTACTGTTACGAGATTTCGATTTAACCTTTAAGATCTTAACACTCATTGTTATTTTATTTAAATATTATATAACTATAAATTCTAATGAAGGTCTAAGCTGATAAAAATTCTTTTTTTTTTCTTTTTGTTCCTCGAAAAATCAAGAACTGTTCTACTCTCTCTTTTTCTTATTGAATAAAAAAGAAAAGAAAAAAAGGGAATTTATTCATTCATTCTTTCTTTTCTTTCTTCTTGTTCTCTTTCATAACCGCATAGACGGCACATGCATTACTGCCAATGTATGTCTGTTCTTTCGCCCGACAGTAATGATGTCATGGACCCCGTGAGTACGTATTCACATGATGCGTATACGCACAACAACGACGATCACATGCCTTCCCCCGTCATCCTTCGTTCTTTCTTTTTCTCTCTCTTTCTCGTTTTCTCTTTTTTTCTCTCCTCCGTCACCAACAGCAGCAATTGTCGAAATGTATGTAGGGAGTAGAAAAATAAGATCCAACCTCATTTTTTTCTTACCCGTCGTCGTTTGTTCGGAAGAGAGAGAGAGAGCGAGAATGTCCGTGTATGTACTATCGTCACTATTATTATCAGTAGTTCTTTATAATTTCTAGTGTCTTTTCGAGAATAAATCATCCCACACAAGGTTTGTTTTTTTTCTACAATATATAAATCGGAGATTTTTCTTGAAAATATGTCCTTGATAAAAACAAAAAAAATTCTCTTTTTCTTCTAGATTCCTTCTTTTTTTGCTTTGCTTATCTATCTTTATAATCAATTAATGGCTGCTAATAATGTTCTTAAATCATCATCGAAACAAATGAGTGATTCATGGATTGTTATTGATGATCACGAAGATTCGGACTTTGTTCTTATTGAAAAAGAACATCAACACTCATCTCCACAAACTAAACGACCATTAGGACAAAATACTAAAACGTCAAATATATCTCAACTTCCATTAACAAATAATAATAAACAATCAAATAAAAAACGTAAATGGAAGGTGCTTTATTCATTACCATCAACAAGTGTTCAGGGAAATGTAAATGCAGCAAATCTTGATTCATATGTTATGGATCAACATGCACAATTACTTGATAAACATGATTTATTTACTTGTCAACAACGTATTATTAAAGTCAAGTGATTTCATTTCTTTCTTTTTTCTATTAATGCCAAAGCTAGATTAAACTACGATTCAAACGCCGATTTTGTTTTCTAATCTAGTGTTGTATACTAATATAATATTATTTTTTGGAGTTCCTTTTTTTCTGTCTCTCACTGACTATATGTACATATATATATATATATTTCTTTGTTTTTCTTGTATTCTTATTACGTGTATGTCGTATCTCTCATTTCTTTTGTTTTTTCTTTGTTGCGACGATCAAAACTGCAGATATAAACGAGCGAGAGAGAAAAAATATTGAGCAAACTTTCTTTTTTTGTATTATTATTTATACTTTGGCATTAATTGATTTGAGAGATAAAATTGTATGCTTATGTATGTTCATTTGTTTGTTTATTTAAACTATACGTATATAATATATATATATATATTTATATACATGTATTTCTCATACATCTGTTGTCATCGTATATAGTATTTTTGTACATAAGGAGAATTGAGGAAATGGATGAAGTTACAAAGATTTCAAAAAAAAACCTAGGAAAAAAGTATTTAAATAAAAAAAAATATGCAATTTAGCATATGTCAAAACATAATAAAATTCTTTTAAAATTTTTTCAAGTTTTTACTCTACTATTTGTTTAGTGTAAAAACAAAAAGTATTTAATCAACATAAATAGAGATATTGTTATCATATGACAACATAAAAAATGCGTCGAAAAATAATGACATCATACGTAGGAAGAATATGTAAATAATCTCTTGTTATGAAAAGCATAAATATATATGTTTATTTGTAATTAGTTTAAACAACGATACACTTAGCATTTTTAAAAAATAGAAATTATCAAATACCCTTTTCTTTAATTATAACATAATTAAAATGACTCATGAGACATTTTTTAATCAAATATGACTAATCTAAATGTGCGTGCATTAGTTATTCTATTAACAGGATTTATGAAAGGTTTGCGTAGGCACGATTTATTAGTGCCATGTTGCATTTTAACTGATAAATATTATGAATAGTATTCTTTTAACCAAGCTATTTAGAAACATATACCGTGGCCTGATGGTCTAGTGGTATGATTCTCGCTTTGGGTGCGAGAGGTTCCGGGTTCGATCCCCGGTCAGGCCCGCTTCCTTTTTTTTTGTTTCACTTTATATGAAAAATGCTTGCATGTATAATTAGTAAAAGTGACGTATTGAAGTGTCATATGTCGAATGATTATACTCATAAAATGCTTCTTCTTTTGATAGCATATTCCACTCTTTTATTTTTTTTTCTATGTAGTTTCACGAAAAAAATCAATAAGAATATAATGAATATATATATGCGTACATGAGGATGTGAAAATCTATTCAAATATCGTGATCATCCATCAAGTTTTTAATGATTAGTTTTGCGAATGTAAAGAAATCATATCATTTACTGTCTCGGACAGATTGTTATTTGAACTATTGGTCAAGCAAACAAACTCAGAATATCATTACAAAATTCCAGATTTGATTAACGAGAGAATATTCTCTACTGTTCACATATCTGTATATATTATTAGTAATAAACAAAACATTTTACAATACTTTAATTATACACTTGTGATTATCGTTACGATATTATACTAATACCTTTGCTGTTTTAATGAAACATGTAAGAATACAAAAATTATCTGATATAATAAATTTGCGAAAGACGATCTATCCAATACTTTTGTTTAATAATAAATATCTTTACATTGAATTTCATACCATTTGTTAACATTATTGAATGCAGTAAGATTTATATATAAAAAGCTTTTATACTAAAATTCATTTTCATTGATTACATGCTTTATTCTATTGTTCCCACTCTTTTTTTTCTTACTTATTCTATTATGATTTTTTACGATATGTCTACACAAGTAGATCGCATGGTCACAATTACGTAGCAATTATTCATGTTATTCTTATTAATTGATGCATTGAAAAATGGAATGACATTTCCGCACGCATGCTACTTCTAAAATAAATATCCGATTTTATCCTAGCAGATGACACACTATTTACAAGTATATTTTTCTTTTTTTAATAATTATTTCGAATGTGAAAAAATAATTTTAAACTTGAGACAGCTTTTAATGTAAATGAAAAGTTATTCAAGTATATATCCGATGAGAATACTTATGGTTAATAATCAAAATATATTTATTTTATTAAGAAAAAAAATCTCGTTAACAGAACTGTTTTTTTATATGAAGATATTTTTTTAGAAATAATTTCATAATATTTCGAAAATGATTTATTGATTGAAAATCGAGATTATCTTCATTATCACTTAATTTATGCCATGTTGATGGAAATGGTACAGCGATTAGATGAAGAATTGGTACATCTAATTAAATAAGTCATGCTATTATGGAAAAATTAGTTTAGTTGATTTACCATAGGCTAGAAATGGAACATGATCATCTTCGATGATATAATTATAAGCTTTCGAAGAGAATATTGCCTGTTGATGTTCAGTATTATCATAAGAACGAAGTAGTTGAGTTTCTAAAAGAGAATAGGGTTACATGAATTTCGGCCCAAACTTTCGGACCGGTCCGAAATTTCGGTCTCCCAGAAAATACATTGCCGATCATTCATTCCATAAGAGATATTATTTTACCTATTTCTTGTAATTTCTTGTAATATTTTCCCGTAGTTCTATTGAAAAGATTAACAAATTGTAAGTTTTTGTTTCCGATAAGATCGAGTAGAATAAATATATTCTATTAAATTAAATTATGATTAAAAATAAATGATTAATAAATATATATGAACCATAGCATCAATTTGATTTAAATCTTGTTGACCTTGAACATTTGTATTACGCATTTTTGTTGCTAAATGTCTAATTTATCGAGAAAATAGTTTTTTCGGTGTATCTAAATAATCTTACCTTGATCCATAGAGTGAATCGGTCTTCGACCAATGTTGAACTGCTTCTTCTCCATCGAAGAAAATTAATTGTAATGTTGGATATTTATTCTAAATATGAAGATTTTGTTTTAAATTAGAGTTTTATTTTTTATCTTTGGTTACATTTTGTTTACGTTGAGCAAGTTGTTGTTTAAAATAAATCACTAAATCGAGTAAAATTGCACAAGGTACTGCACTATCAGTAGCACCAATAAAATGTGGTAGTTTTTTTGAATCATAATGACAAGCAAGTACAAGACGATGTGTCGCTGTTGGATTTAAAGTTGCAATTATATTAGTAAATTTAACTATACCATCCTAGTATTATAGAATAAGATACAGGAAAATATTGAATATTTTATTTTACTGGTGTCACGGAATTAAATGTATCATATTCAATATTCCATATTTTAGTTGATTGTAATGTTGAAATAATATGTTGTCGTACTTGAGCATTACCTCGTGTACCTGATACACGTTTTATTAATAATGGTCGAAGTAATTTAGTATGAAATTTATCAGATTTATCTGATAATGTAGAAAAACATTGATATTGATTATATTTTTCAGTATCGTTTGTCTATAATAGGAAGAATTATTATTGTATATTAATAGATGTGCAAAATCATTACATGAAGAATATAAATATTTGATAAAAAGCAATAAAGCAGGATATGTAAGATAATCAATATCAAGATGATGAATAGACATAGTATAAATAACTTACACGACGTGTTTCTACTAAGTGAAAATAACCGTACAAGTACAGAATTATTACAAATGATAAAAACGTGTAGTATGCCATCTGAAAGCTTAATCGTGAAAAATAGTTATTACGTTAACTTGGATACGGTATAATGGAAAAAACCTAAGATATAAACTACAGGAAAAAAATCAAGAGAAACAGTAGAGGAAAACATTGTTTAGATAAATTTCAATTGTTATTTGAGAGAATGACAAGAAGAAACTATACTGATTTACATATAGAAAAATTCTTAAATGGTTTTTTTTAAAGCAACAGTTATAATACTTCCAGTTTTTGCTAATTCGATCTCAAAATTTCAATTGACCAGTTTAGTTTTCGATACAAATTGCAGCATCTGGACTGACTACTAGAGTATCATACAATATTTTACATAGATTTTTCTTTCGTAGCGAAGAGTAATATTTACTTATATGATCCGTATGAAAAAAACTTTGAATAATAAAATTCTAACGATAACGAAAAAATCGCCCCATTCGTTCGAACCACTGAAATGGAGATATTAAAATCTCTTATCGTACTGTTATTTATGGTCCATCCTTCTTGCATATATCGATAGAATCCTTATCCAGTCTTGTCTCATATATTATTATGGACTATGGCATCACAATCGTATTAATATTTTATATGGAATTAGTTTTTGCATATCTTAAATATATATCATGATTAAATAACTGTATACATTTTTGACAGATTCTAAAATAAGAATCATAAACAATTTCATCTATTGGCTATAAGAAATAAGCCAATGACGATAATTTCTTTACATTTTCTTATCGCTACAATCAACGATGACTAGTCAGGTGGTGTTAACAAATAATCAACTGATTCTGATTCATTCGTTGACTTATTATTTTCTTTTTTGTATTCAACTATCATAATATTTTATTATCTAGATGATCTAGTCAAAAATATGTCAGCAACATCAGAAAAATTTCATTTTGTCTTCAGTCATGAACTTGAAGATCGAATTCAAATAAAAATGTATTAATTAATTCTTATTTACTTTTTTTTATTTTGTTTTCTTATTTCAATTTGTTTTCCTAGTGGTTCACTCGATGGCGAACGACCGCAAACACCCATAAATGATTTATTCTTTTCGGAGAATTCAACATTTATTCGTAATTTAAATGATACAAAACGTAGTGAACCATTTGTTGTGTGTCAAATTTTTTCTGATGGACAATCACTTTGTCTACCTGTTCAAACATCATTCAAATCATTTGTTGATAAATGGAAGTACGATATTTACGGAAAAAAACGATTTAAGTGATGTAAAATAACGATTTTTTTCTCTTCTTTAGTTGGAATGAATGGTTAAAACTACCACTAAGATATTGTGATTTACCTCGTCATGCTCTTTTAACATTTTCAATTCAAGAAATAATATCACCAACAAATATTCGAATTATTGGAAGTACAACTATATCATTATTTGCATCTGATGGGTAAATATTAAATGTTTATTATAAGATCTTATCAGAAATCAGACACATTAAATTCTCTTAAATAATTAATAAAAAACGTTGCTAGGTTCGAAAATATAAACATAGAGAATGACCCAAAAATTAAGATATGGTTTTACTAAACAGGCTTATTTTCTTAGCAGAGATAGAGGCAGATTCACATTCCAAATCCATACGGATAAGGTTAGTGAGAATCTTTATTAAGCAGTATTTTATCTAGGTTTTTCCTTTCGAGAGTGCGATAGCGATTTCCGGGAGGGCGAAATCGGTCTTTGCGAGGGCGTCGCCATCACTGCCCTCGCTCTAGATAAATCACTGTTATTAAGTATTACTATTGATCCTTAACAAGGAAATGTTACATTTTTTATAGCTCTCGTTAACGTTGTACATATGGATTTGTAGTATAAATATGTTTCTATCCTTAGTAAAGAAAATCAGCTTGTTTGCTCGAGTCATAATGAAGCTATTCTGTCTTTGAAAAGACAGAAGTTTAAGTCAATAATGATGAGTAATAAAGGTCCTTACTAATCTTGTCCATGTAAATTTGGAGTACGCACATGACTCTATATCTGATAAAAAAATGATTCATTTGATCGAGGTATAGTGTAAATATTCAGTTTTTTCTTTGTATCATGACTCTTGGACTACCCTGAATTTATGCTGGATGATTACCTTTGTATACTTAAATTTCTTATACGGAAGTATTATTCAATTCCTTTTTGACTCAGAATTATGATCTCCTTCTAAAGGTAGTTGTTAGATTTAGCTATAATATAATATAGGCTCGTAATTATCGAGTAAAATTCATTTTGAATGTTGAAATATAGTACCTGAGAAATTTTTGTTAAAGATAAAAGTGAATTATCAATGGATCATAATAAGATCAATATAGAGATTGTCTGGGGACTACAAAATTCAGATTTCATACTGATCATCTTGAGAATTTAGAAATGATCATACCAATGCTATACAAATTATTCTTATATTTCACTTTTTGACGTGCAAATTCTTTCTTTTTTTCTAAACAAATACTAATTATTTCTCATTCTTTACATATTAAAATTAAGAATATTACTATACTTTTCAATATAAATTTCTTCACGGTAAATTAGTGTATACTTATCAATATAATATTTCCGAAAGCACTTACTCTAGTGTTTACATAAAATAAATGCAACAAATTATACGCTATTATGTTGTTTATCATTCTTTTTTTTATATATAAAATTTAATTTTAGAACATTTCGACGAGGTATATATGATTTAAAACTTTGGCCAAATGTGACTCCTGATGTTAAATTTAATACTTCAACACCGGGAAAAATCGAACCACTATCAAATGAAGAACAAGTTTTAATTAATCATACAAATAAAAATGTTATAACAACATCTAATCTACAAAATAATTCAAAACAATCGACCGTTAAATCACCTGTGATTAGTTGGAATGATGATAGTGAATATCCAATGCTTGATGAATTAAATCGAATAGCAAAAGTTAGATAAATAGTTGACTTTTGTTTTTAATTTCATATTATTATTTTCAGTTAATTAAAACACAATGTGATGGTCATGCAATACATCAAGAATGGCTTGAAAAATTAACGTTAAAAGAAGCAAATTCACGTATAGAAAAAGAACGATCGAATTCAAAATCAATGCTTCTATTAATTGAATTTGCTCGGACAATGATCGATGATAATGAATGTGTTGTATTATATTTTGAACCGGTTCGTATAAGTTTGATTTTCTTAAAGATTATTTCCATTGAATTATATACCGAAAAAGTTGAATTTGATTCTACTAAAAGTGAAATCATGTTTCTTTGAGCGTTCATGAATATGTAGTACGAATTTCTTAGAAAAATCTTTTTTTTTGTGTTTTAGAATTGTGAAGATATAATTAATTACCCAATTGGTTATACAGATCTTGCTGTTTTTGATCCTGAACTTGATCTTGTATGTTTATATATATTTTTGTTTTATATTAGAAAATATATTTTCATATAAATTATTCAATAGGAGAATATAGTTGAAAGTAAACATTTAAAATTAGCACGTAGTGGTCGAAAAGCAATGGATAAAGATTTAAAACCAACACGTGAACAACGAGAGAAATTAATGCAAATATTAGCATATCCACCAGGACAATTTCTTTCAATTGAAGAACAAGATTTAGTTTGGAAATATCGATTCTTTTTATCGCAACATAAAAAAGCACTTGCTAAATTTCTTCAATGTGTACATTGGGATAAAGAAGAAGAAGTTAAACAAGCACTTGATTTATTACAACAATGGGTTACAATGGATACTGAAGATGCACTTGAATTACTTGGTCCAGCATATCATCATCCAAAAGTTCGATCTTATGCTGTTTCAAGATTACGACAAGCATCCGATGAAGTAAACAAATTTTCACTAAATATTTTATTTTTTTGTATAAAAATTGTTTTTTTTTTGTTTTTCAAGGATCTTCTTTTATATCTTTTACAATTAGTACAAGCTCTCAGATATGAACGTTATGATTTAATCAATGCGTTTGTTGTTGATACTGCTGGAGAAGAACAAAATAGGTTGATGAACTGTTCAGAAACCAGGTAATACATGCAGTATTATATGTTCAGAACAATAATAATTAATTAATATTTCTTGCTAAATGATCTTTATAATAAACTAGAAGAAGATTTTAATAAGGCTTACTATCTCTTCGTCAATAAGACTTTCGGCAATAGGATATTCGCCAGTTGGTGAAAGTTCAGGTGTAATTCCAGTGGGTTTTCGCCAACTGTAATAACACCAGGTTAGTGTAAGATGCATATGACAAATTAACGTAATATTATCAGGATAAGCATATTATAGTCTAAACCCCTCAATATAGTTATCAGGAGCTATTTTTATACATATGTAATCATATAACCATACAGACGAATTTTCTATAAGTATGTTGGCGATATTCGAGAATTCTTTTAGTAATTGTTGATAACTTTTCGGACGATCGTTTTTTTTGCTATTTATCTTACTTTTAATCATAATAACTGTGCTATATTCCTCTCAATAATCATGAATAACGTCGCTGTTCAATGAATCTTAATTAGCTATTTGATAAAGTGATTATGAACTTTTACTAGTTGATACTAAATAAGTTAATTCTGGTTATTTATTAGAACAAAAAGAGTAAAATTTTAGTCATTCGTGAACTATTTCACTGCGATTAGCTTTGGTAACACTCATATCCATAATGCTATATGTTAGATAAATTTTAATCGATGCATAGTATTTTTATTGAGATAAGTCTATCAATTGTGTGATTATTATTAGTGTTAGAATTAATTAGAAATGAATATTTGACAAAAACTGATATCATATAATTTTTATCAATGAAACGCGATAGAATTAGAACTTATTCATTAATCGGATAATATCACTAGATAAATTTTCAAATATATCATCATCACTTCGATATTAAGACTATTATTAATACGGAATACATTATAATGTATTCGATTTTTCATAGTATCTAAATCAAATATAGTATGTTTTCTTCATCATCACCACACAGTTTCTGAATAATCACAATAGATTCTAATTATATTCATTCTTTCAATTAAATTTTCCTGTAATTAACTAGTTTAAATGGTAGTAGTGAAAATTATGCGAATGTTGTTGTACCATCCGATTCTATATCCAGTGATCAAACAAAATCTTATATACCAGAAGTAAGTCTTTATCTATTTATTGAATGAAAGAGAATAAAAAAAAGCAACATTTGAATATTATTCATAGATTGATTTATCAACATTTTTAATTCAACGTGCATGTGAAAAACCTATAATTGCAAATTATTTATTTTGGTTTGTAAAATGAAGAGATGAATTATTTTCTATTAATGAATAATTTTTAGGTATGCCTATGTTGAATGTGAAAATAATAGTTCATTTAAAGATAAAGCTATAAGTGATATGTACCAATCATTTGTTGAACGACTTAGTGTAACACTTAAAACGGTAGGAAAATAATATTTATTTATTGAAAAATTTTCATTATACTTTTATTCGTATTCTAGAAAAATGAACAAACCCAACAAGTTCGCATATCAATTGAAGCACAAAAGAAATTTGTTGATAAACTTGTTGAATTAACAAATATTGTTAAACGAGTACAAGGTTCAGCTAAAGTAAAAGTAAGTGAATCATTTATTTTCGTTTTTCTGTATTTGATTTAAAACTGAATATATATTTTTTAGGAGGATAAATTACGTAGTTTATTATTAGCTGGTGATGATTCACCAGTTAAATTTAATTTTCTTAATTTCGAACCAATACCACTTCCATTAGATCCTGAAATTAAAATTCGACGAATTATTCCAGAAAAAATTCGAATATTTAAAGTAAATATTTCAGATAATTTCTTTATCAAATTCAAATTCGTTTGTTTTTCTTATCAGAGTGCAAAGTTACCTTTTCTATTCGTATGTGAAACAACACAAGGTGAAGAATATCCAATTATATTTAAATATGGTGATGATCTTCGACAAGATCAACTTATTTTACAAATTATTACTTTAATGGATCGAGTAAGAAAAATTTCAATAAAAAATATATTTATTAGGGAGGAATTACCGTACAATAGAGATGTACAGGGTAGAAGACTTATAGGGTAGGATAGGGTTAGGGTAAGAGGATCTTAGAATAGAGTAAGTTTTTTTAAACTAGATATATCACTATGGAACGATATCTTTCTCTTGCATAATCAAAAGTTAGTATTATTTGTAAATAAAATGAAAAAAGTTATTTATCATGCGTACTCATTCTTTGACAAAAAAAATTCAATTAGTAGGGTAGAGTTAGGATACGGTGGAGTTAGGGTAGGGTCAGGGTGAAAGAAATTTTCATAGGGTAGGCTTAGGGTACAAAAATGCTTACCCTGTACATCTCTACCGCATACTCGGATTTTCGGAATCCCATATTTTCGTTACCCTCTCGGTCAAGTATCCATCTATTGATGTTTTATTTTTGCTTTATTCAGGGTGTGAGTGTGAATGTAATCACAGCTATCATATTTCTTTATTGTTCCGACCCACACCCACCCACACCCTCAATATATAGAATAATTTCATACCCTTGGTTCTCTTTCAACTAATCTATCAATTCCATCTGTGACACATATTTACATAATACTCAGCGAAATAAAGAAACTCATTGATCAAACACTATTCTATTCAGAAGTACATTTATAAAAGTACTTGACAAGCATTAATAGTTTTTCATTGACAAAATTTCCAAGGTTAGACTTTATATATGTAATGTTTTATTTTATAGATTCTTCGAAAAGAAAATATTGATTTAAAACTAACACCTTATAAAGTCTTGTCAACAAGTTTAAAATATGGTAAAAACATTATATTTTAAATCTTATTCTAAAAAATTTCATTTATATAATCAAGGTTTTGTTCAATTTATTGATTCTCAACCATTACAAAAGATTCTTGAACGTAATTATACAATTCGTCAATATTTACAAACTAAAATAACTGTTACCAATGCTGAAGATACGACTCTAGCTGAAACCGGTATTCCACGAGAAATGATGGATGCCTATGTAAAAAGTTCCGGTATGAAGAATTATTTTTCTCTAAAAAAATAAAATAAAAATTTCTTTTATTTTTAGCTGGTTATTGCCTTGTAACATATCTATTAGGTATTGGTGATCGACATCTTGATAATTTATTACTACGCGATACAGGTCAATTATTTCATATTGATTTTGGTTTTATTATGGGTCGTGATCCTAAACCATTACCACAAGCAATGCGTGTATCAAAAGATATGATGGAAATGTTAGATGAAAAACGTTTATCAGATTTTCTAAGACATTGTTTTACTGCTTTTATTATTCTTCGAAAGTAAAACAAAAATTAATTGAATATTTTCTTCTTTTTCTAAATCATATTGTTGCTTTTTTTAGACATGCAAATGTTTTTGCAAATTTATTCTCACTTATGCTCGATGCAAATATACCTGATATTGCATTAGAACGAGATAAAACAGTTAAAAAAGTAAAAGAAATTTAATGAAATATCATATGAAAAAGATTTTTTTTGTTCCTTTTAGTTACTCGATAAATTTCGTTTGGATTTAGATGAAGAAAAAGCAACAAGTTATTTAAAAGATTTAATTTATTCAAGCATAGGCGCTCTATTACCACAAGTTTATGATTATTTTCATAATTGGTCACTTGCGTTTCGATAATACTTCCAAAATTCTTTACGTTTATTTCATTCTGTACATGCTTAAAGAAAACGAACAATTATGCTTGTCTGTTTTTATTTATTATTATTACTATTATTTTTTTTTGTTGATATAGCTCTTTTTGTGTATGTGCGCGGTGTGATTTTCATTAAACGAATGCCAGATAATAAACGCTATATACCTCTTTCTCTCTCATTCTCTTTTTTTCTTGTTCATAACGTGTTTAATTTCGTTATTTTTCAGATGCCAGCCGTGGTTATTGAACGAGCAAGTTTACCAACAGAAATGCGTGATGCATTGAAAAGACATATTTTACGTGAACGACAACGTAAGAAAGAAGAAGCAGATGCTAATGAAGCCGATAAACAAAGACGACGTGAAGAGAAGGTTTGAAAGATTAGATTTTTAATAGTTTAACAAAATTTTCGATTTATATTTTTAGGCAAAAGCATTATCATCATCGAAAGTACAATTAGAAGATAATGCAAAAGATATTCTTCAATTAGAACGAACAATAGCTGATTTACAACAACAAAAATCTGAACAGTATAATTTGTTAAAACGTGCATTAACTGAAGAAGATCGTCGAAAACATTCGCAACAAACATTAACAAAAGAACCATCATGGACAAGTCTTTATTCACCAAGTAAAAATAAATAAATGAATATAGAGAGATTAATCATATATTTTACTTTTTTTTGTAAGATCTTCAAATGGCACAATATGCTCATCATCCTCAACATTATTTATCTACGCAACCATCACATCGTTTATTAGCTTATAAACCACCACCACAACCTCCTCAAGCGCAATCATTCATTCCAACAACAAGCGCAACAAATGCTTCATCAAAACGACCACGTAGTCCATCATCATCACATATTTATTCATCACCATCAGGAAAATCATCGCGATCATCACATGTTTCACAAATGCATTCAAGTAAAAATCTTTCCGGAGAAAGAAAAAAATATAATAAAATTTAATATTTTTTATAGAGCCACCAAGTCCTAATTCAATATATCCACCATCATCATCCCAAGTGTCTCGTAATGCAACACAAGGATCTGCTGTTGGTTATCCTTCTCCTCAAAGTCAATCAGCATTTTCTGCTTATCTTAATTATATGACACCATCTGCTGCGGCTGCAGCTGCAGCATCGGCTTCATATGCTAATCAAATGCCACGTGTTCGAGGTCCAGCACAAATGTCAAGTATGTTAAATTTAAATTTAAGTAAACTGTTTTTTTACAAAAAGAAATGAATTTCTTTAGATTATATAAATCAATTATCATTTTTACCACAAGCAATGGTCGATCCTAAACAACAACAACAAGCCAATGTTTATTCACATCATCAAATGTTAATGTCATCAAAAAATGGATCGATTATGAATGGTTATCCACTACAACCACAACAGTAGTTGTTATTATATATCTAAACTAAGACTCTGTTTTTCTTTTTTTTTTCTTTCTTTTGCTTTATGTTGTTTTTCTTCTTTGTTCACGTTTTTAAATTCATTAAATATTTGGATATATGTATTGTCTAGAATTCTTTCAGATTTTAAATTTTATTTCATTACAAAAGAAAACAAACAAATGATGAAAAGTCATTTATCATCAGATACATTATCTTCTATTGATCGTAATTCAGATGAACAAGAAATTCGACAACGATTATTGACTGATTCACAAGTAAGATTACTTGCTTTTAAAATTAAATGTTAACTAACCAGTGGCGGATAGGGGTAGGACAGTTCCATATTAGTTCCGTTCTTAGGAACTGTATTAACAGTTCTTTTGAATAGAACTGAACTGAACCAACAGTTCTTTGAATAGAACTGAACTGTATCAACAGTTCTTTGAAAGGAACTGAACTGTATTAACAGTTCTTTGAAAGGAACTGAACTGAATCAACAGTTCTTTGAATAGAACTGAACTGTACCGACAAGTTCAGTTCCTTTCAAAGAACTGTTATTTCAGTTCAGTTCTTTTCAGAGAACTGTTGTGAAAACTATTTTTTTGGAAATAAAAACAAATTTGAAACAAAACAGTTCTTTTAAAAGAACTGTTGAAACCGACCAGTTCCTCTGAAAGAACTGTTAATACAGTTCAGTTCCTTTCAAAGAACTGTTAGTACGGTTCAGTTCTATTCAAAGAACTGTTAGTTCAGTTCAGTTCCTATCAGAAGAACTGAACTGGTAGTTCTTTTGACCAGTTCATCCGAACTTGGAACTATGAACTGTCTTACCCCTAGTGGCGGATCTAGGATTTTGTAAGGGGGGGGGGGCGGTTTTAGCTAAAACCTATTTTTTCGTTTATTTTTGCTGTAAAAAGTCAAAAAATTTTCTGAAGAGGGGCGATCGTCCCCCTAAATCCACCACTGTGACTAACATTTATAATTCTTTAAATACATACTTAGATTAATAGATTATTCGATTTTCTATATAAAAACGAGATTAATAGAATTTACACTCTTCTATCCATTTTCAACCCTTTGATTATGGGTTTTTTTAAGATGTATCTTTTTTTCATTCGAAAACAGTCTGAAATAATTCTTATTAATGCATAGAAATATTTAGTAGTGAGTGTGGGTGTATCTTATCTATCTCACCCACACCCTGAAAGAAAGGAGTCTTTTCGATCTAGGCTAAATGATATTGCAATGACAGTAATATCTCCAAAATTTCAAACACGATATATGGGTAATCCGTAACTAAAAGGTTAATGTAGACATATCGAATGATATAGAACAAAACTACAGTTTTTGCTTAGATTCTTATAGTCAGTTCCTTGATCTGCTGATGATTCTATAAAGAATAACCTTTGAAAAATGCATAATTATATATTACGATTACGCTGTTCATAAACCATTCATTTATTTAGTTTACTTATAAGTTACTAATCAGTAGTTATATATTATTTAGTAACATCAATTAATACTTGTACTTTATTATTTTATTATTTATAGTTCGACTGGCATATGTATATTTTTGGTTTTGATTAGCTATTGATAAATGTGAGTTTTGGTTTGGATCTAACCAGAATTATGTTATTGCTGCTAATGAAATAATATTCTTGCTTTGTTCTGTCTAACAGTATTACTAAACATACATAACTCATTTCAATTTTTATAACTTCTTCTATTTCCTTTCAGAAGTCATTCAAATGAGAATATGTAGACGAATTGACTATTGTATTGAATCGATGATCTAGTCGGCTTTTCTATACTGTCAATTCAGAGTAGATGAAAGATTTATTAAGACAGTTCAAATGATAGATGAATGATTCTCTATTCGTTTGAACTTCTGATAGTTAGTATTGCTATAAATGCTATACATCATTTTACAACGTCAGAATAGATAATAATATAAAAATCTATATTTAGAATGAATCAAGTGGTGATTTTTCTAGTAAATCTTCAGAAGATTTAATTGATTCCGTCCTTGACGTACCAACAAAATGTGTTGAACAAGCAAAAGAAGTTGGTAAATTTGTTGTTGATTATGTTGTCGATCATACTCATCTTCCGCATTGGCTTATTGATAATGAATTTTTACTTTCTGGCCATCGTCCACCAATGCCAAGTGTTAAACAGTGTTTTGCATCGATCTTTCGTTTACATACAGAAACAGTTAATATATGGACTCATCTATTGGGTACATTAGTTTTTATAGTAATCGCTATTTATTTTCTTTCCCGACCATCTGCCGAAGTACATATTGAAAAAAAGATGATTTTTAGTGCTTTCTTTCTTGGAGCTATAATATGTTTACTATGTTCAACATTATATCATACATTATATTGTCATTCACCAAAAATTTCGAAATTTTTTTGCAAGTAAGATTTTATTTTACTTTTGCAAAATATATGTATATATGATTATCTATTATCTTAGACTTGATTATTGTGGAATAGCAGTATTAATTATTGGTTCAGTTATTCCCTTACTTTATTATCAATTTTATTGTGAATTTGGAACAAAAATTGCTTATCTATCATTAATTGGTTTATTAGGAATTGCATGTATTGTTATTTCTATGTGGGATAGATTTGCTTCATCTGATTATCGAGTTTATCGTGCTTGTAAGTTTAGTTTTCTTTTGTATAGAAAAATAAGAACAAATATTCATTTATTTTTTAGTATTATTTATTACATTTGGTGTCTTTGGTTTTGTTCCAACTTGTCATTATATACTTCGATTTGGTTTTAAACATGCTTTTACAAGTATGATACATTGTCTGACATCTGATTAAATATATTAAACTGTTTTGCTTTTTAGCTGGTGCAACTCAATATTTACTTGTAGTTGCTGCATTGTATGTTATTGGTGCTGCTCTTTATGCAGGTAATATTAGTTATTTGTTCTTTGCTTTTGTTTATTATCTTAATTTTAATAGCTCGAATACCTGAACGATTAGCTCCGGGTCTTTTTGATATTTGGGTAAGATGAAAGTTTTTTTCTCTTTTGATTATTCTTCATTTATTTTAATTAGTTTCAAAGTCATCAACTTTTTCATGTATTTGTTGTCGCTGCAGCATGTGTTCATTATTATGGTATATGTATTTTATCACAAAATCAAGCCAGTTACTTTGGCGATTGTCGAACAGATATTCTAAGCTCAAGTACTACTAACTCATTTACTTCTGTGCTCAAATGATCTAAACCGAACTAATCATATAAACTTAATTCACTTCTGTTTTGAATACGATCTTTACATACAATGTTGTTGTTTTTTTTTCTATATTATTATTTAAGCTAAAACATTTTCTATTATTGTAATATGATAGAAATTGCAGGTGAAGGTTAAATAAAAAGAGTTTTAAATGGTAACAACTATATATCAAAAAAAATATTTTTATTAATATTGAAAATTTCAATTAATAATATGATAGCTAGAGAGATAAACTGTCTCATAAAAATTGCTATCTAATATGTTGTCGCAACAATTTTTATTACGTAGTGCTTTACTTTATGGGTTGCAGTTGTTGTCAAGATGACGTCATTAAACAAACAGGAATGAAAGAAAACTGGCAAAAAACCCATAAACGTAGCAGTATATGTGTATATACATATTTCAATAATCTATTCTTTTCTCGTTTTTGTTGCTGAGTCTATGGCCTCAGCGCATCAACCGAAAGGCCGAGGTCGTTCTCGACAACAAACTAATGCTTTAGAATTAACAATACCAATAGCGCCAGGGGTCAATGTCGCTACAACTTCTGATTCTGTAGAGCTATTAACTACGTCTCAAACAACTACTATGAGTGGTCGTGGTCGCGGTAAATATCTAACACGAAAACCCGTAGTTCCTGAACCTCATATGACAATAGACATCGATTCGTCTAATTCCCCTTGGAAAGTATCCGATTTAAATAATCATCAATTCTGGTCGAATGAGCGACCGTTAAAACCACTTGAACTGGGAACGCTTGGTCAGCCAATAAAACTTTGGGTCAATTATTTTTCAGTTGTTCAATTTCCACACAAAGGTTTTGTCTATCAATACCATTTTATAGCTGAAAACAAAAGAAAGACATGCATTCCACGTATACAGCGACGGTAAATGACCCTATGTACATATTTTATTTTTAAAGTAATTATTGTATATTAGAGCTTTATATAAATCTTGGTTGCAAAGTTTCTATAAAAAGCATCCTCAAATAAACCCATGCAAAATTGTGTTTGATAATCAGAAGATAATCATTACATACGAAGAACCATTACCAAATATTGACGAATTTGTAAGTGAAACTATTTATGTTTTATTAACTTTAACCTTTTTCATGTGTTCACTAATAATTGTTATATTTTTGAAAATCTTCGGCAGGGAATAACAGAACCAATAATGGGAATAAATCGAGCTAATCGTTCTGAAGAATATAACATCTCTGTCAAACGAGTAGGCAATGCAATCGATTTAGCTTCTCTCGCTTCGTTTAAAGAAATATACGAACCAAGCACAGAGAATAACCTTAATACTGATGATCTTCAAAATATTAGACAAGTTCTTTCAATTGCACTTCATGAACACTGTTCATCAACAGCTGATTATATTTATAATCGAGCATTTTTCAGAAATCCATCACCAAAAACACTTGGCTATTGGGATCTTGGTTTAGGAAAAGCTACATGGCGCGGTTTCTACTCATGTCTTTTATTTACCAATGGTTCACAACGATTATTTATGAATCTTGATGGTGAGTATTTCAATACGAAAACAACTTCATATTATAAATAATCTCTTTTCCTATGTCATCATTATAGTCAGTCATGGAATTTTTCAAAAGAAACAATCATTTCTCGATTTTCTTCGTGATGTTATGCTTCATAGTCCATGTGGTAAATACCATTATCGTCATAATCGTAATATTAAAAAGGCATATATCAACGATGTACTTGAATTTTTTGATCGAAATGTTAATAATGCGTATTATGCTGGTGAAATTGACTATCTACTAAAGAATTGCAAAGGTAAATGTTTATCCTTTCTAATTAATAATAATTTATTTATTTTATATACACATAGATCTTTCTGTTCGTTCGTATGTATCAGATAGAGTAATTGGCTATAAAATCTCTAGTTTAGGTGAATCAGCATCAACTCAAACGTTTAAATGGAATGAAAGAGATAATAATTTGATTACAGTGGAAGACTTTTATATGAAAAAATATGGAATTGAATTAGAGTTAGTAAAGTATTAGATCTTCAACTGATTATTAAGTTTCTTTTATCACGTAGATATCCATCATTACCTGTAGTGACAATGCGCAATGGATCATTTTTACCAATGGAATTTCTGGGTGTTGAGCCAGTTCGAGTCAAAAAGATTACTGATGAACAGCGAGCAATGGTTTGTCAAAAGTCATCATTGAATCCTTCGGATTATTATCAGTCAATCATAAGTGTTCGTAATAATACTGAAGAGCAATATTTCGAGAACGATCCGTTTATTGCTGCATGGAATCTTCAGATCGATCCTAAGATGCATATAACATCTGCTCGTATTATAGCTCCACCCAAAATCATCTATAATTCGAGATATCAAGTATCTCCTCAAAGTTGTTTACCACAAAGTGTCTGGAAGAATACAAATACTGAATTTTATAATCCAGCGAGTTTTCCTTCTGTATGGGCCATGATTAATTTATCATCAACAATGACTGAGCAAGCATGTCTCGAATTCCGCAAGAATCTTCGTAATATTGCCTATGAGCGAGGTATAGATTGTCCTGCACCAGTTATCTGTGAAGAATTCAACCTTCAACAATATTCAATTAATCAGCTAATTATTGCACTTCAAGATATGATGAGAGAAAATAATGATTGTAAATTTTTCTTAGTCATCCTACCAGAAAATAGTGATGCCAGCGATCGAACATACGGTGAAATAAAAAAACTGGTAAAATGATTGATATAAATAATGTTTTAAATAATGAATATTTATGTTTTCTAGTGCGAATTAGAAAATGGTTTTGGAATCGTTACTCAAATGATACAAGTCGGTAAAAAACCATGGAATTATTCAAAACTAAATAATCTTTTGTTAAAAATCAATACGAAATTAAATGGAATTAATTCTATTCTTGATGTTCCGTAAGTAAACATTGCTTTTCATGACTAACTTACTTTAGAAAGTTAATTTTAGCGAAGTTATCAAAAGTTTTTTTGAACGTGGACATCATATAATGTATGTTGGTATTGATTTAAGTCATGGAGCACCTGGTTTAAGTAGAGGACGCTCTACTGTAGCTGTTGTTGCATCCGCTGATGATGTCCCTAGTCGATATTTTAAAGAAGTTTATCTACAAGAACGACCATCAGACACACGAAGAGAAAGTTGGGAATATGTTGTTGATATGAAACAGATTATGAAATCTCTTATTATGCAATACTATGAAAAACATCAAAATCATCCACCAAAAGCTATTGTTATCTATCGTGATGGAATATCAACTAGTGAATTTGATACTGTATTTGAAAAAGAGTTGACCGCAATACGTGAAGCTTGTGTTGAATTATCATCAGTCTATCGACCTAAACTTACTTATATTGTTGTGAATAAAAGACATCATACAAGATTTTTTCCGGAAAAAGATGGAGATAATGTTACAGCTGGTACTGTTGTTGATTCAGATGACGTCACAAATCCAACAACATATAGCTTCTTTTTGAATAGTCATCATTCAGATAAGGTAAGTTATAAATGAATTAAATTCTTGGTTTTCGATGACATGTTCCACATATATACTTGTTTGTATAGGGAACAAGTCGTCCAACATATTATCATGTTTTATATGATGATAATAAACTAAAACCAGATGAAGTTCAAATGTTAACGAATGCATTATGTTATACAAGTGCTCGTTGTACTCGTTCAATATCTATTCCAGCACCAGTTAAGTATGCTGATTTATTAGCTTTTCGTGCTAATTATTATGTAAATATCAATGAAGCACCAAATACGTAAGTTGTATTCACATTTGATGTTAGTATTGTTTTATATTTTCTATTTACAGAAAATCAACGGATCAAGAAACGAGCATTCCGATCAATCAATCGGTAGATGTTAACAATACGATAAAAAGTCAACGTATTGTATTAAGTTCCAAATTGGAAAATGACTGTTCTTATTTTTTGTAAGAAAATCAAGTTGACGTCATTATTTTTTTCGAACTGAAGTTTTTAAAACTCTCTCGACTAATTACAAAATTGCTTTTGATCAATTTTTTCTAATCAATATTTTTTAAAAATATATATACTAGTAAATAAATAATTCAGAATTTACAATCAAATAAAGTTTTTGTTTCAAATATGTTTCATAAGTATGTCTGTTCTATCGAACGATTATTAGTTACACGTTTCTTTCAATTAGAAAGATCGGTCAATACTATGACATAGTAAGACTTGTAATACATGTTACTGTACAGTACGAAATAAATATAAAGACCTTCAGCAGTATCAATTGCTGAGTTACTTCATTTTATGATAAATTTTCATGCAAGTAAAACGACACGTTGATACGATTATGGTTGAAAATGTTTTTAGTTTCGTGAAATTTTGATATGGTATAATATAAATAAATTTCTAATATTTATTTCGAAAAATAAAGATAAAATCAATATTTCATGGAAATTAGTTTATTTTACGACAGTGTGTTTTTTTAAATATCTGTCATGTATCTTGCAGAAAAGTTTATCTGTCTATCACTCGTAGGTACAGTCTTGTTTTATTCTTTATTTTATAGTTAAAATACATGTGTGTATATATCATGATTTTACAATAATGATAGATAGGAAGAAGGACGATTGTAAATGATGTCACGAACTAACTCATTAAGTACATTTATTTTTCTTTCAGTTAAAAGAACGTGAATATATGCATCACTGATCACTATAGTAAGGGAGAGATAAAAACACACGTTTCTTGTATCGTTTCAATTCAGTGCTAATGCAACCATTGATTCTTCGACAATTTTGATCTTTCTTGGACATAACTTGACGGTATGTACCATTATGTTACTTATAGTTAAATCCCAGCTCGACGAATACGACCGTGATGATCGTATTTTAACAAAAACTGTACAACTATGATCACTTTTGATCTTCACCTTCCCATTATCATTATATTCATCTATTCAAAAAAAAGATATAAGTATCGAAAACTATGAGACTCATCAATGATACTAGTAAAAGTAGAAAAAAATGATTATAGCTACTGTTTTTTTCTATTATTAGTTTTATCAGAATCTTGTCAATAGGCGTACGTGAACAAGTTTTATTTTTCAAAGTTCTGTTATTATATACTCTAAAAATGTTCACTGACAAGTTCCACATGGGAATAACTTTTATTGCTTTGAGTTTGTCTGTTGTATGTTTTATTCAAAATACTTTGTACTATGAGACCTTTGCATATTGTTTACGTAAATTTATATTTTAAATTTCAGTGAAAATTGCTAAGGATAATCTACTGAGCGTATATAAAAATAACCCTTATCGACATCTTGGGAAAAAGGGTCGTCAACGAACAGTACATAGAATGGATTTGTTACTCTATACTTATTTAATTGGTTCATTCTCACTTTTAAACGCTTTACTTGTGACCGGTACGAGTGATTCACATATGTTTGACAACAATACTTTAGCATTAAATATTATTCTTCACAGTAAACCATCATCGATATTCGTCTACACTGATACCGATAATTTAACACAAGGCTCGTCATTATTAGCACTAAAAGGTTATCCTAAGAATGTTGTATACAATCGTGTACCAAAATCGGCGAGCACTACATTACGCTATCTTTTTCGTGATCAAGCAGCCAATCGTGGTTTCACAATTTTGAACAAAGAAATTTATGTTCCATTTCTTCTTTCTGTCGATATACAACGAGAAGTAGCTTCTGAACTTGAAAGTGCAAAAGCACCTGCTTTATATGAACGCCATATGTATTTCATTAACTTCGATGATTTTCAAAAACCACAACCTGTTTATATTAACGTTGTTCGAGATCCTATACAACAAGTGATATCTGCTTACTATTACTCACGTGAAACATGTATCAATGAACAACGATGCTATTTCAACACAACTTTTGTTAATGAGACATTAGATGATTGTGTCAGGAGTCGATCAGCAAGTGAATGTGTCAGTGCATCTCAAGGTGTTAGTCCGATTCTTCCTTTTTTCTGTGGTAATCTAGTGGCATGTGAAGAGAACAAAACATTTGCATTACAACAAGCAAAACAAAATATTATCGATTATTATACAGTGATTGGCATTGTTGAAGAATTATATAATTTTCTATTTGTTCTTGAGCATATGATGCCGAAATACTTTGCAAATATATGCCAAACATATATGTCCAATGGAATGAGAAAAGAGAATGTTAGACCTAAAAAAACTAAGAATAATGAACCAAGTGAAACAACCAAGAGATTATTACGTGCAGCGCTCGCCGACGAATATGATTTGTATGAATTTGTTAAAAGACGATTTAATATACAATTTCAACAAGTTTTACAAAATTTGGCAATATAAATATAATGAGTAATATATATTTAGTCTCAAGTATACATGTAAATATTTGAGACGCTGATGTAGACTTGAGGGTGCAAATGTGGATAAAGGATAGATGTATAATCCTCCTTGATTTTTTTTCGATAATGTTTTTGTCAGAACTAATTATATAAAAATAATAGAAGCAACTATTGATAATTACAAGTTTCATGTTTTTTCTTCATATAGTTCTCTTATGATCGAATGTTAATATATTTTATGAATCTAATTCTGAAGCTCACACACCGAAAACAAACTTTGTATATATAGAAACCTTTTAACAATATAATATATTTCAATGCCTACAATTTCAATCATCAATAAACAACAAAACATATCTCTTCATATGACTATCACATGTTGTTTTTAGTTCGAAAGGAAGAGAATGAGTAATAATACTTGATTGATAAATAAAAATCCTTCTAACATGTGACTAGCTAGTATAGATATCGCTAGTCATAGAATTTACATAGTAGCCAATTACTAAAAACTCAAGTCTTCAGTTCGCTTCTTTACCGACCGATTACTATCAACGAAAGAGAACGTACATGTGTTACATTGTAAATATCTACTCTTATCAGTGAATAACATGTGAGGCATATAAATAACATGTTTCTTTTAATATTTTTGTGAAAGGTACCGTTTTGATAAATCCAAGTCATTTACTTTTATTTAAGATTTTTTCAGTTCTATGACAAAATTCGAACATCTTCCAAATGAACTTATACTTACAATATTTACATATTGTTATCCAGAAGATTTATTCAGCTCGTTATTCAATCTCAATACGCGTTTAAATTCTCTTATTTCCACTCAAACTTTAAAGATTTGTTTGTGTTATAAATCATTGAAATGTTTACAGGATATTTATTATAAATCAGTATTATATCGTGCTCTTGAACAAATTCATACTCTAGAGTTGTCTGATGCATATGAACGTATGAGTCATTTTCTTACCGATGATAATCAAATACCACTCGATTTTGAAATAAGAATATTAATTCTTTCTCAAGTTAAATCATTGATTTTACATGATTCGAAACCAAACTGTCTTAATCAAATATCAAAATATACAAAGAATATAGAATATTTATATGTTTCGATGCTACCTCACAAGTCTTCTATAATAGAGATTCAAGAAGTATTTGAATCTCTCTTTGAAAAGATATCGCTCACAAGATTACATATTGATTTCTATTCTACAATTGAATTTGGAGATAATACAAGTAATTTATTTATTTTAAATATTATTTCATATATGATGCATGCTCATCATCATAATTAGTGAGAATAAATCTTTATCTATATTTTAGGTATGAATATGTCATTAACACATGTAACGCTGAGTAGTTGTTTTATAAGAGACTTAGCTAAACTGCTTCGTCGTATGCCAAATATTCAGAAGCTTGATATTACATGCGTGCATGATTATAACCCAATAGATGATTCCCTGTTTGATGGACTTGCTAATGTTATACCACATTTAATTGAATTAAAATTAAGCGTTTTTTATATACCATTTAAAGAAATTGAATATTTCTTTCGACAACTACCAAAACTTATTAAATTAACATTTTCATCACTTCTAATAGAAACCGATTCGAATGGATCGAATTGGGAACGAATTATTCATGATTATCTACCTAATTTACAAAAGTTCAGTTTATTTATTGACGATACAGATGCAAATATAGATCTAGATGAAATAATTAATTCTTTTAACAGTTTATTCTGGCAACGATGGCCAATTATGATTGAACATTACTTAAGAGCAGCGAACATACAACATTTAATGTTATATACCTTGCCTATCGAAAAAGGGACTCTACCTACATTCTTATATGGGTTACAATTTCGAACGAATATGAATGTATACGATTGAAATACTGATAGTTCATATTATAAGAAAATTGATAAACTGGATTTTATTTTTCATGAAACATCTTTATCAAGAAATCTCTCACCAAAACGTATTTATTCAAATCTCAAAAGACTTTCATTTTCATTTATATCAACTGATCCAAGAACGTATGAAACCAATAATATTTTAATGGATCTTTCACAGATATTTTCAACATCTGAACTTGCTCAAATTGAAGAAATTTTTTTATATGATCGAATCTATCCAACAAATTTTGGTAAACTAAGAAAAACAGATGTTATATTAAATTTCTTCTTTCTCTCTAGTTTCCAATCTATTAAAACTATTCCCGAATATTAACTATCTTAAATTATCAGCATCATCACTTGATCTTTCTATCACTTTGTCGTCAATTGATTCGTTAACAATTATTGTTGATTCATCAACCGAGTACAATTCTACAAACATTCTTCGTCAAATTGCTAGTCATTTTCCTGATATATCAACGCTTCGATTCGAATTAACAAATAATAACGATATTCATATTCTGATTTCCTACTGTTTTCGAAAACTTGCATATCTTACACTTATGACTGTAGCGATAAATGAATCTAGTTCTCCTGTAGATCGACAAGGATTTATTTTATGGTTCAAAGATTATAAGCAATTAAATGGATTGTATGACGATGCAGAAGTGGAATTTAACGAAGATAATCATATATTTCAAATCGCACTATAATTTTTCTATAATAAAAAAATATTCAAGAGATATATCGAGTTATAAAATAAAAATAATCAAATAAAATATCATGTATATCAGATAGGGATGCAGCGGTGACGATCATCAATAGCTATGCCGATCGAACCGGTGAAATGAAAACCACTTGAGCTGAATAACCATAACACTAATAAAGTCTTAAAGTTCAAACTAACGCATTTCGGCGCCTTATCTGAAGAAAAACAAAATTGAAATAGGCACATTAAGACTATGATTGTCATATAAATCACAAGAAAATATCGATCCTACCATAGCTATCGAACCGTCCTGGTTTTCCGTCACTTTTGCGTCCCTGATATCAGATCAATACGATCTATCAGTCTATTGTTAGTGCTAATAAGCGAGCCTAGTACGTATATGTGTTTTCGTTGACACATACAAAGTTATATAAGATTATTTATTCAACTAAATTTTGAAATAAGAAAAGAATTAATTAACACACATTCTTTTATATCGATTATAATCTCGTAATGCCGATAAATCATCACTAAATGGATATTTAGCACCAATTAATTCCGCAACTGCAAAACCTGATAACAATGAAAGATCATGTCCATTTGCTGGTGTCACAGAATTTCCACAAAAATACATTCCATTTTCTCCTTGTACTAATCGTATTAATAATGAAATTGCTTGATTACGAAATGATAAACTTGGATGTGCACGACGATTATCAACTTTTCCAAATATTTTCTTTTCATCAATTTTTGGCATTGGTTGATTATGTGGTGCATATGTAACAAACATCGGTTCCATAGTTTTATGTTCTATTTGATTTTCTTTTAATATTGCATGTACATTTGGTAACCAACAACTTAAAATAAACGTATTATAATGATAATATAATTTATTAATCTTATCATATTTCATATCAATATAATTAGCATAATTACAACGTAAGTCATCTGCATATTCATTTGGTAAAATATTTATATCACGATGAATTATTCCATCTAATAGATTTAAATCATCATCATCATCAGCATATGTTACACTAGTTAACATTAATTTTAATAAGAATGAAATATTTGTATTATTTCCATTATTTAATGCATTCATTGTTGCATGAGAATTGCATGCAAAAATAATTCGATCATATACTATTTTTTCATTATCAATAGTAATCATAATTTGATTATTTTCTTTTCGTTGTACATGTACATTATTAATTCGATGATTTGTTTTAATATTTATATCTTTAGTCATTTTATCAAAAACATCTGTAGATGTATGAAGCCATGTTAGCATTGTTGGTATGCGATTTGGTTGTAAGGAAATTAAACTATCAAGGGTTGGAAGAATAGATGATGGAATAAATGATATTTTTGTAGATAAAAATGAGGATGCGTACATAGGTACTACAATATGATTCCAAAAGCGATTTGATACACCAAATAATAAACTTAAAAATCTCATTGAAATAAAATTAAAAGGATTTAAAAAATTAAAATGATATAAAGATGGTTCTGTACCACATAGAATTTCAGTAACATAACGCACTGTTTTAACCATACGATCCCAACGTTTTAAATCTTTATTATATTGTTGAGTATGTATAAATTGTTTTCTATGAGCAAAGAAACTATCTTCTTCTCGATTATGAATAAAAAATGGTAATTCAACTGTAGTTGTTTTAAGATCTAATTCATTTAATAGATGAATATAATTACGAAATATTGTTGGCCATGCTAATACAGAAAGACCCGTAGTAATACTAATATGATCATGTTTCCATACATGTGTTTTCGCATTACCACCAAGTGTATCACGTGCTTCATATATTGTTATATTCTTATATCCACTACGTAGCAATGCATATCCAGCACTCACACCGCCAATTCCACCTCCTATTATAGCAATTTTATAGTCTCGATTGTGTAATGGTGGTACACGTTTACTATTTCCAAAGAGACGTGATTTTACATATGTATATATTGATAATAATAAAATGCATAGAAATGTTGCAATATATTGTAACCAGAATAGAATATTCATCATATTATTATAATATTATTTGGTAGACGACGCATTGTTTAAGTCAGATCTAAAACAGAAAGTATCAACCAATGATCTTCATCAGGTGATACAACATTTAGATAAAAGAAAAAGAAAGAAAGAACAGGTGTAAGATTCAACAAAATGTTTTTATCTAATGATAAAAATCAGACGATATCGTTTAAACATATTTCACTTTAAAATGCATTTTGACCTATATAGTTACAGTAATTACTAGAATTATCTGATTACCTAATTTGTACCATATTGAAGGTCATTGTCTCCAGTATATTTATGTTAAGAATTTTATTTTTTTTACATTGTCGTGAGTATTTGTTGCATACCTTCTGATTCTGGATAAGAAGCAAATTCATTTAATTGGTTTGAAACTGAAGCAACCAATTTTTTAAATCAGCCTCTCAATTGTATCCTATACTCAACTTAACGTTTCTTTTACAATTTTTGTTTGTTCTCTTTTCATTCTACTCGATTTTATGATTATCCAATAGGGTTTATGTTTGATGAAAAATCAAATTTTTACAATCCTAGCTGCTTGCTTTGGATAGATATCGTGACTGTAGGATATTCTATTGCTGTATGTTTCGATAGAACTCCGGTCATACATCTTGAGCGTATGGGTGATTACTTTCTCTCTAACCATACTTACACACACTCTCACAATGAGTTCTCACTTCTGTGTATTGATTTTATCAATATAATCGAGATTTATCAATTAAAATCAGAATTTTCTTTGTTTTTAATTGAATTCTATAATTTTCATCTAGCTAGTCATTTAGTAAGAACGAAATCTATTTCATACTTTCTTTTATACACTATGTCGAATCTCATGTAATTAAATGAGTATTATACCACTCAATTCTTGACTACATTATCAATCTGTAAATTCTAATTATCGAGATAAAATGTTTTAAATTCATTTGTTTGATCTTTTGTAAATAACATCAGACTGACAAAAATGTGTTATTAATGAAATATACATCTGTATTAGAAAAAAATATCAAATAAAAAACAAATCTTTTAGATTGCGAAAGTTTTTCCATATAACATAATTTTGCATAATTATAAACAAATATCTCCAAATTGAGGATATGCTGTTGAACATTGCATATTATCACAACAATCTTCTTTCTTTTTTGCAAGGTTGTGCATGTCCACTACAAGGACATATAACACGTCCACTTGAGGGTGTTGGTTCAACGCAACATTCAGATGGTGATGATGCTGTTTCATTACTTAATCGACAACATGTTTTCGAATATGCTCTACATATTTCTCCAGGACAACAAATTTCAGTTGAGTTATTGCATGATTCAAGTGGTCGTCTACATGGTCTTTCTACACAATTTTCATTACAACATATTCCGCTACAACATTGTGTTGAAGATTTACAAGCTGATTTATCTTTTAGACAACTGGCTTTCAATGGAAATTCATTTGGTCGACATTCAACAACAATTGATGACAAAACAATCAAACCAACAGTAAACAATTTTAATCTAATATATAAAAAGAAAACAAAAATCAGTTTTAATTCTAATAGACAAATAATAATTACCTTTAAGAATATATTTGTGTATTTTATATCGATCATTTTCATGTGTCTTATATAGTTTTCATTGAATAAAGATATGACGATATTATAAATATTGCGTCTTTTCTTTGTTCTCATCTATTTTAAGATTCACCTTGAAATTTTCTCTATGACGAATATTAGTTATTTCATCATTAGTATAGAAACAATAAGAAACCTGTTTTATCTTCACGATCGGGTTTGGCTCAAATACACGAACAAACAAAATGACGTCAGTTGTACATTGCGTCTTTTCTTATTTATTTAACGTCGATATTTCATGATCATCAACAAGATTTTTGTCATGATTCTTCTTAGAAATAAATTTTTAAATGATAAAATGTTTTTTTTCATTTATAAAAAAAGATTTTTATTTTATCAACAAATATCTTTTATGATTCGAGGGAAATATCAATTAATATTTTTGATTTCAGTGTTTTATATTCTAATATTAATAATTGCTCTTAAAAACAAATGGAGATCGTTACTCAATTCTTATTAATTTAATACAGCATACTTAATTATGCTGATTCAATATCGATGATAGAAAAATATTTGTGTATTGATAAATACACATAAGAATGTCTTCTTTTTTTTCGAATATTACAAATTAATTCAAAATCTAAAATGAGAAAAAGTCCTTGTGGGAGTATTTGATCATTTATGATTGAAAAAAAATTTATGAGGAAGAATTGATTTTTGGATATATTTCAATAAGAAATTGCTACTAATGTGTTATCTATAATGTTAATATAAAATAGACAAATGAATGTCATTTTGCAAGATGACTTGGCTCTTTACAATAAAAACATAGTCAATATTTAAAACAATCGTCTTTAGTTGTTGTTGTAGTATAACGATGTTGTCGTCGTGGTGATCGTGTATTTAAAATATTTAATTCAACAGTTGATGACGTTTATAGAAATGGATTATATTTCATATGATTATCCTTACGAATGGTCATAACACTTTCATAAGTACTTGCTTCACGTATAGCTTCTTTAACAGTTTTTGGATGTTTCAAACGTACATATAAACCGGTATTCAATGATAAACCATTTACGAATAACATTACTTGTGTTAATTCATCAATGTGATGCACCTGATCAACAATACTTCGAAAAGACTGGATATAATCTTCTACCGATTGTTTCTGTCGTAGTTGTAATAGTTGTTCTCGAAGATGTTCTTGAAAATCGACTGGTTGAAATCGTGATGTTATTTTTTCTTTAAAATCAGCCCATGATGATGGTCGTTGATTTTGTAATGTTAAATCTGCAAACCACTGTAGAGCAGTTCCACCTAAATAACTAACTGCTATTGATATTCGGTCACCATCATTAATCATGTTATAAGCCATCATTTCCTGTAATAAGATTAACCAAGTAACAATATTTTCATCATGAGTTCCATTGTACTTATCTGGTTTAGCCATGAACTTGCTGGATGAACGTATGAATGGTTCGGTCGCTTCGGTGGACAATTGTGTCGGCAAACGGTGTAAACGTTCGGTTTGTTGTTTATCAATTTGTTCCATAATATTCAAATTCGCTATCGAACGTTGCAATAACTGGTCGAATTTTGAACCTTCACCTGTCATTATAAGTTAAACTATTCTCAGCTACCAAATGTTAGAATTTAAAGCTATTCTATCTTTTTATTTTAAAAACTGACTAGACAATATAATCATGAATCAAAACAGTCTATCTGAACAAACTTAATTAACAACGACCGAACACATATATATATATATACATCTTTTTTTTCTTTGAATCACGCGCGCTTTCTAACAATTTAACAAAAAAATCCCAAACAAAGATAATGTAAATCCATTAAATCTTGAAGAATAATACAGAGTGCACGTTAGAGTAAAGACTAATTTGTGTACACAATTAAAAAAAATTGAACAGTCAACGATGATATGAAGAGTCGAAGTTGCAAACAATCTTGATAAATATGTCTTTCGTTTGGCTCATAAAGAAAGAAAGGAGAATGATTTTATATGAGTTTGCTTTAGATTTTTGTTATTTTTACTAAATATGTCATTAAATGAAAATGTTAACGAAGAAGATGAAGAAAGTTTACTTTCAAATAATTCTCATAATAGCAAAAGAATTAGATCATGGGAGAATTATCTGATTATAGTGAAATACAAGAATGAAGAAAATCGAATGAAGCTTCTTATAAACGTTTAGGCCCAATTGATCAAAATTCATGAAAACTTTAGTCTTATTTTAGTATCTTTGATGAACATAATGGTTAGTATGTTTTTATTTAACAAAATAAATAACTAAATAAGTATTTTAAAATAGGAGATCAAGTAAGCAATAGGATAACAAAGAATTCGCTGACGAGATAGAAAATATTTATTATTGTCTAAAAAAACAAAGGTTCCGTATGAAATCTTTTTTGTTAGAGAGTATAATCTGTGTTAATGTGTAATCAATCGAGTTATTTTTCATAATTATTTAACCACACTGAAAAAAAAGCAAATAAATCAGAAAATTTAATTGCAATTTTATTTATACAGCAGGTTTTATCATATACTTCCTACTTAATCTTTTAACAATGATAAAATCATCAAAAACTAGAGAAAGTTTTTTCCAAATAAGAATACATCGATTTCTCGGAATATGTGTAAATTTTGTTATCATAAAGCTTTTTAAGATAAATTATTCAAATAAATTTCTTCTATTTTTATGTGAGGAATTTTAAGATGAGTAAAACGAAATATAGGCACTAGGTAGCCAGTTGATATTGTTTTTCTTATCTTAATTAATTCTCTCATATACACATGATTAGAACAACATTTCTTCGAAAACGCTATACTATCCAAAAATGTTTTCACTTTCTTGTTATTTTATTTAACAAAAATTACAGTGCTGCGAAATTTTATTCTTTCCAAGAAAAAAACGTTGACGCAACTTGGATTTTTCTAGTCTGATGGTGTGACGCATCTTTGTTGTGATAAGTGAGTTTATCAACTCAGGTAAAATTTGTTTTTTTTCCTCATATATATTATAATAAGTAGGTACACATTTGTTAAAAGTTATGTATACACGAGAGTAAGACAGCGAATTTGAGGGTGTTAACTATTATCTTCTCTCTACTCATACCCATTCATCTGTACATGTCCACCGTTTTCTTGAACAATAAAAATTAAAAAAAATGAATAAAACTCTGGATGAAATGTGACTAATCCTTTTTTTTCGGTTTTATTGACAGTTTCGCTTATCAAAGTCATGCTTTCTTTCTGTGTGACTTGCATATCTTATAGCTTTTCTCTTATCTTTTTTCACCATTATATATATATATATATATATTCATTTACTGTTGCCTAAAAAAACACTTCATAGCGCATACGATGTATCACACAGTTCGCATTCGTGATCTAGCACCACAATCACTTACGACTGATTCTAATCCGCAGCATACTGGACATAAACAAGCAAACTCAACTGTATCGGAACAGTACTGGGCAAAATCAATCGATCAGTCATCATATGGAGATAAGTATCGTCAAACTTTCTTCAAAGCAAACGGATCTCATACACATATTGTAAACAGTGGCCATGCTCTATTCGAAGCATATCTAGCCGCTTACAATGCACATGAAGATCTTGTATTATCACCTGATGATATTTGGCTCATGATTACCATCTACTATGCTAGCTATGTTGTTGATAATGCAGAACAAATGCGACATTTATTTGTTGACCATGAAGGAAAGAAGACGCTTGTTGTTGCAATGAATACTTTCGAGCCTGAGTGAGTAAGATAAGCTGCGTTCTACTAGTGTAATTTCGTAAACTCAAATATCTGACTTTAGTTGGCCAGCCTTCTTAAACTTGATGCAAAAACAAATTGGCACACATGTGAAGAATAATGTCGTTGATATGCTCACATCGAATTTCTCAACAACAGGCTCTGTCGAGAATCTTCTCTCATCGGTGTGCATCATGCATACTTTCAAGAAATATTTTGATTATGAACATATGGTATGTGGATGTGGTATACGAAATGTACATTTTATGGGAACAATAGATGACTGGAATTTACTGAGAAAGAAGGTAGAAGAATTAAAAGGTTTCACTATTTTGCCGTCAAAATATGATTCTCCTAAAAGAGATTTTCGTGTATATCTCGATGGAGTCTTGCCTATATTGGATCAGTTTATCCAAACGTATAAAGGTAATGTAGACAATAACTTTTGGGATGGCATTTTCGATTATACAAAAATAGGTGTGTCTTATGGTCCTTCAGGGTAAACTAAAAATGAATTGGGTCTTCCTTGTGCATAGTCTTCTACTCTTTTCTAGCATTTATATGAAGCAAGTAAACGCGATCCGTGGTTGGTTTCTTCGCCTTTGTTTTGGTTGCCATTCGCTTGATGCAAACTCAAAAGCTGTACCTTTAGAAGACATCGGTTTGAACGCTATTTCAGTACCCGTGAAATTGATCGATTTACCGAAAGGAGGCAAAGAAACGTCGTGTTATGTTGTTGGAGGTTTTCATGGAATTCACTCATCCAAAGATGGAAAGCATCGACCAGTAATGAGTCTTGCTGTCTTTGAAAAAGTAGAAAAAGTAGAAAAACAATCAGTTTTGGAATCAAGCACATCCTCTGAAGATGCCTGGTACTAATAAAACTGAGAAAGAACACACCGCACTCAAACAAGAATTAAAATTTAACTATAGTTCTAACGATCCTTTTTTTTATTCAATAAATAATGAATATTATTACTCTTTTGTTTGAATCAGCAAGAGTTGGGTGTGGGTGCCAGTGGGTATGAGACTCTACTCTCTATCTCACACACCCATATCCTCAATCAATAAACATTTCAACACAAGCTCTTAGGAATACGAAATCGCTTAAAATATGTTTTCTATGAATTCGGGTGGCTTCTAAAACATTTTGTCAGGACTGAAAAAATTATGTGACTCTCTTTCTCATAACACAAATATTCAGAACCAATCGAACGGCTATAAATGAATTTCTCCAACTAAAGAACAATAGTTGGCAGCAAATATGAAAAGGAAAGAATGTGGAAAGAAAAGGAAGAAAAAATTTATGAGGCGAAAGGAGGTTGTGAGTGCACGTCTTTTTCTCCGAAACCTGTTCTTTCTTATGACGGGTTTTTTCCCGCTGCTTTTTTTTCATTGGTTAAACAAGAAAGAGAGTCATAGTAGTGCTATAAAAGCCCCTAATCTACCAAGAACAGATTTACTCTCGCATTTCATTTCAAAATCGTGATCTTCATATAACAACTTCATGCAGTTAACGGAACTCTTTCTTCTGATAGCAACTGTTATTAGTGCTGCTCAATCTCAGTCATGGGCTGGTACTTATACGCCTGATTCATCGTGCAGCACATCCACTTGCTGCTGTTTAAGTGGAAAAGCAGTCGTGACAAGTTTGTCGACAAATAGCTACTTGGTTAACTCCGGTGCGAGCGGTGCCTGTGGTGGTGTTACCACAGTCACAGGCATACTCTATACAAGTGGCTATGCGGGTTCGATGATGGTGATCGCCGACAATGATACACTGTCACTCAGCTCTGACAGTCGTAATATTACTGTCACCAATCCAACCCATCCAGCATGCAGTGGCAAGGGATACAAGAGTGGTACCATGGCACAACAGGCTAATATCATCACGTTATTAGCTCTATTTTTAGTGGGTATGGTGATCAATGTCTCAACCAAATGAAATATCTCAAATTGTTCTCACTAGACTTCTGCTTTTTTTACTCATTTTGCTTTTAATCAATTAACATAATTATTCTGGAAAAAAATTAATCATTTTATATAATTACTCTGGAAAATAAATTATTTCATAAAAAAATATATCATTCATAAAAGTCTATTTATAGTTATTTGTCCATTAGTTTTACGAAAATACATAGATATAGTTTTTAAGGGTATCTGTGGGATCATTGGAAGCTTGTCAAACATGTCAGCCAAAGAAGTGTGGCTCACTTCATATAGAGAAAACTAGCTGATCATACTACAGTTCTTACTTTGCCAATATCCAACCCACTGTCTACCCTTCTTTCAAGGTCTACATGGTCATACTACTTGTAGTTTTTAAAAGGCCTATCTGAACGTAGTATGTGTAGTTTTTTAAGATCTACCTTACTATCTTATAAGTTGGAACAATCTGCATGAACATCGTAGCTATCGTAGCATGATGAATCAAGCAAATTGTGATACAAATTAAACTATTTTCTATCCAGTCTTTAATGACAATGCCAAAATGTTTATGACGTGAAGATAAAGATCCTACAAGGATTCCTTGTGTATTTGGTTGTAGGAAGTGAGCAAAACATGCAGTCATTTTCTGTAAAAACAACTTATTCTTATTCCTACACTCTACCTCCTGAAAAAAAACTGTTTTTTGTTTGCGTTGTTACGCCTTTTTCTCAGAAAAAAACTTGTCCATCATCGTAATTATATTCTCTTTGTTGGAAGAATTCTTTTGTACTCATTTCTGCATTCTCTTTCGAGAAAAAAACTTATTTATTTCTATCGTCACAAACTCTTTCCCATAAAAGAAACTTGTCTATCATCATTCATGCATGCTACCTCTTGAAAAAATTGTTTTTACTTCTGTTATTTCACTTTTTTCTCGGAAAAAGCTTGTCTATCGTCATAATTATATTCTCCTTCTTGGGAGAATTTTTTCTTTACTCATTTCTGCATTCTTTTTCCAGAAAAAAAAACTTGTCAATCATCGTTCTTACATTCTCAATATTGGAAGGAATATCGCGAGTGTCTGGGTGTGTGTGTGTGGGTATTTTATTTTATCCACACCCACACCCACACCTCCAACATGGAAAACAATTTTATTAGTTAATTTTTATTGAAGATTTTTTATCAAAAATGAAATCGAAATTTTTTTAAACTAAATTACAAATATTTTTAACTTAACATTTTTTCATATTTTTGGATTCGATGATTTTGATTATCAACAACATAAAGATTTTCTTCATTATCAAATGATAAACCTTTAGGATCATTCAATTGGTTCGGTTGACTTCCTGCACCATGCCCACCAACAACAATTTCACCTTCTTTCTCTCCTTCACGCCAACGCATTACTCGATGATTCATTTCATCTGTCACATAGATTTGACCCGAATGATCAACAATCACCCCATAGGGATGATCCAGTTGTTTGAGACTATTTCCTTTACCATTTCCACCAGCAACAATAATTCCTTCTTTTGCGTCTTTTTTCCATTTCATGACACGATGATTCAAAGAATCTGATATATAAAGAGAAAAATCTTCATCAATAAAAATATTAGTAGGTTCATAGAGTTGATTAAGATGATTTCCTACACCATTCCCACCTGCAACTAATTCACCTTTATTATCTCCTTCTTTCCATCGTCTTACTTCCGCATTCTCACAATCAGGAACATAAATAAATCCATTTTTATCGATTGCTACACTATGATAAATCATATTTGAAATAATAACTTGTGGATTTGTTTGATTTTTTTCAGAATATCGAAAGATTCGTCTCATTCCATTATCAGAAATAATAAAAGAATTATTTTTTTTATCAATAATTACATCTGATGGAAAATTCAATTGATTATTTTGATATCCTCTTCCATTTCCACCTGCAATGATTTGACCAGTATTTGAATTTAATTCCCATTTAACAACACGATGATTCCACTGATCAGCAATATAAATTGATTTATCATTATCAATACAGATCCCCCAAGGATCAGACAGTTGATTTAATCCCTCGCCTTTTCCATTTCCTCCAGCAACAGTAGTTGCAACTTGTTTATATTGACTCTTCTTTGTTTGAATTGGTTCTAAAATAAAACATTTTCTTTTCGTACAAAATCTTTTCCATTATTTTTAAATAAGAAGAAAACTTAATTAAAAACGACGGATAAGATCTCTTTTCAGTGTTATATTAAGTGATATAGAAATAGAAAAGAACCATATAATTAATTTTTAACGAACAAGTAAAAATAATTTATGAGAAAGTTCTACCTCAATTTGAAAGTCGATGAAATTGTTATTTAATGAAACATACTTTGTTTTATTTGAGATTGACTTGATATTTGATTCTTTGACATAGTCGCTGTATTAATTTGTAGAATGATTTGATTGATAAGAATCTTAATAAAAAGAAAACACAATGATTTTATCTGACAATAATATGATAAAGAATATTAGTACAATATTTCTGTTATGAAAAAAATAAATAAATAATAATTCTTTAGACTATATAGGGTCGTGCGGGAACGATTTTTTTTATTCCCGTTTCCCGTTCTCGTAAGCACTTTGAGACACGCATCCATTTTTCACTAGTTGCGTTTGGAAGAATATCATCTCTGTATACTAGCTTCTCGCGACGTCATACATTCTTCAGTAAAATAAATATGATGTCAAAGTAAAGCTAAATTTATAATTGGAATGCCGATTGACTAAAAATTCTCTATGCGAAAGCTGATTGTGTAAACATATATAAATTTATAGGAACATCATTTTCTAATATCTTTCTCGTTCCCGCGGAACCGGAAGATTATGCGAACTATTGTTTAACTTTTTGAAATAACTTAAACTAGAAAAGAATGCAAATTCAATTTTGTGAGTTTAAATTTTCTCAATAAAATATAAAGCGAGAGATTTTGTTTATATTTCGAATTTTGAGTATAAGTAACAAAGTTTTCTATATAAAATATTTATTTCTTTTTAAGAAATATTTTTCTGCATATAAAGTACGAAATGATATTCTTTTATAAACGAAAATTTATTTGATTTTCAAAAACAAAATTCTTTTAGATGATTTTTTTTCTCTTTGAAGTTTTTGTTATTTTCAAATATAAGGAGTGGGTGACTATTCTATTTTTTCTTTTCCACCTATACCCTTAAGATAAATATTAGACTAATCGATTCTTTTCTCACTTAGATTTGTTTATATTATTACAAAATGGTATGCAGAATCTTCGTAAATTATACAAACTAATTAATCAGCCTATTTTCAATGTGCTAATTCAAGTTAGAAGATTGTTTGGATTTGTGTGAAATACTGATGAGAAGAAATATTAATATTAGTATGCAGTATGAAAACAGTTAAAAACTCACCACGTCAATAACGATTTAAATCGAATGAATTATATACTAGAATTTTTGATAATATTTTTTACTTTTTAACCTATTTTGAAAGCGAGCGATGAAGGTCGTTTTATTGAAATGACGAAGTTATTTTTCACAACCGACAAATAAAAAGTAAAGTCGGTCAATCCGAAAAAAATGATCAGAATTTAAAAACAATAACAACACAAAAATATACTAAGCAACCAATCAGTAATGTCTTTTTCTTCTCATTGAAAAGGAAAATAACACTGCCATTTCATTTGAAACCATGTGAACAACCAAAAGAAAGGAAAAATTATTTTTTATATGGCTGCTCCGATAAAAAGACATTTTAATACAAGCTGTGAGAATAGACGCTATTAAACACATTCGATGCCAGTAACAACAATGATCACATCAGATTCAAGCAACAAAACAGTTAACTTTTTATGGATTCTATATCAAAAATATCCTGGCGTGGGTTTATGTGATAGGTGGCGACTAGCAGGCAAACATTAGGATATAGATATATGAGAACTTGATGGCATTCATATCCTCTTTATGTTATGGACTAGGAATATCCATTACCAAGAATTACACAAGATCTAAGAGCAGTCAAAGACATACAACCTGTACTATGGCATGTTCTCAAATTATAACAATTATACAAACTATAATGCCAATGTAAATGATTATAATAACATTTCGAAATAGTAATTCTCCAGTTACATTCTTAGAAAATATACTTTGATGTATCTATTTGCACTTTCGCTCTAGTAAGGCGTGTTTTGAAAATTAAAAAAATAAACTAAAGTGCTTCAGTATAATATTATTTATTAATTTTATATAAAAATAAATTTGTGTTGATTTATTTTTCATATGTTGCACTGAATGGCTTTAAAATTATGAATACCTCGACAGTTGCATAAAATCAGGTGATCATTACAGTAAAACTGAAAGTAAATCTCTCATTGTTTGTCGACACACTCACTTTCTTCAGGAAATACTAATTTTAAATGTTTTTTTAACAAGAATTACATTGAACATTTGTTAAAACAATTCGCTTGTGTATTCAAACTAAAATATTTCAATGTTTGTCGTATGTTCTATATTTACAGTAGATGATAAATAGCATCTGACAGTATTTTATTCAGAGCTATTTTTGAAAAAAAACAAACTCATTATTTTCATATATCTATAATTTCAATAAATATTTCGGATTAAAGCGATTACGTAGGTAGATTAGGAATAATTTCTGTTCAATTGATGAGAAACAGAGAGATGGGTTATTTTCATTTGAATTTGTTGAAAATCCAATTTCGATCATTTTTAATCAAGATAAATTCCAACATTTTCTTTTTTTTCCCAGGGTTTTTATTCTTATCATTTTATCGTAAGTAATTACTGAAAAATATGCAGAGAGAGAGAGCTAACAAAAGTCAGGTGTTAGTTCAAATATAGATTTTAAAATCATACTTGTAAAGAGTATAAGTAAATGTGAGAACTTCTGCGCAAAAGAACGAGGACATAGTTTTTTTTAGTTACTGATTATTGTAGACTTTATTATACTATCATCAAACTTGGACAAATCATTAATTATGAACAATAATAATACAGATATTATTGATGTAATTTATCAAGGAAAAAAAACAATAAAAAAAATTTGTTTGTTTTTAATTGTTCTAGGTTCAATCGATTAACTTTGACACAACTCAACCATCAACTAGTCAACCAAGAACATCGTATGTGTATTATGAGATATAATAGATAACACAATTGATCTTTTATTTCAGATGTGAATGTTTTCGAAGAAGAAAATTAATGTGGATCATACTTGCTAGTATTGTTACGGTTTTAATTATATTAGGAATTATTATTCCAACAATTATTATAAAAACAAAAAAGATACAAATCGAAGAAATGTCAACAATGGAAACAACAACAGAAACAACGATAACAATAACAGAAAAAATAGCAACAAAAAAAGAAACAACAGCAACAACAATTGAAACAATAACGGAACCGCTAACGACGACTGAACAAAAAACAACAACAGAAAGTATGTTTTTCCTTATCTTCAATGGAAAGATTTTTTAATTTACAAAAGAATTAATTCAAATTTTGAGCATTTTCTCTTATTCATAGAACAATTATTTTCTTCTATCGACAATAATATCGATATTAAATGGATTCAAAATGGTCTTATTGTCGCTGGAGGATATCGACCAACCAGTAAACTCGATGGATTCAATTCTCCTTCTAGTATTTATATTGATGATGATGATCAAACGATGTATATTGGTGATAGTGGTAATTCGCGTGTGGTTGAATGGAAATACGGCGCAAAGATTGGTCAAGTTGTTGCTGGTGGAAATGGAATGGGAAGTCAAATGAATCAATTCAAAACTGTAATTGATGTGGTTGTCGATAAGAAGAATAATGTTTTTATCACGTGCGATTATGATAATAAAAGAGTTGTACAATGGTCTCGTAAAAACCTAACTGATCAACAAATAATCATCTCAGACATTTTCTGCAGGGGTCTAGCAGTGAGTAATGATGGATTTCTTTATGTATCAAGATGGGGGAAGGATGACGTAAGTCGATGGAAACTAGGAGAAAAAGATGGAGAAACTGTAGCAGGTGGGAATGAGCTTGATCAACTCTCATGGCCTTATTCTATCTTTGTCGATCAAGATCATTCAGTTTATGTAACGGATGGTGGTAATTATGATGGACGTGTAACGAAATGGTTAAAAGATACAAAATTTGGAATTGTTGTTGCTAGTCAAGGTGAAGTGAATAGTCCTATACAATCATTTGAGCCTAGTGCAGTATTTGTCGATCATTTGGACAACATTTATGTAACTGACTCACGCAATCATCGGATAATACGTTGGTTAAATGCATCTAGAAAAGGCGATATCATTGTTGGTGGAAATGGAAAGGGAAATCGATCAAATCAACTCAGTAACCCTTCGGATTTATCATTCGATCGATATGGTAATCTTTATGTCGTCGATCAATCGAATCATCGAATACAAAAATTTGACATTCTCGTTAATTAAAACTCTTTTTTTCTGATAAAATCACTTTTAATATTTTTTTTTCGTGGAACATAAATAATTTGAACAATAATAAATAAATTCGAAGATTTACACTGACTTGTTTTAAAAGAATGGATATTGTTAATGTATCTCTAGGATATGATGAATGAGAGACGAATAGAACACTTTTATTCGCTCTTTCCACAACATTATAGTTATACGAATTCTACTCAATTACCAGATATTTATTCCAATAGGAATAAAAGAAGAAACGTATTTTTCAATGTCAGTTCTATAATATATACTCTTTGCTTATAGGTGTTGAATAAGATTAATCATAAGATGTTTTTACTCTGTAAACCTTTCAAAATTCTTTTTATTAATATATAATTAGTACTACATTATTTTTTCTCTTCCTTTCACGCATGATGAACCAAATGAAGGTTTCTGTTCGTTTACTTTGAGTATGAAAAATAATGATAAAATTACTTCAACGTCTATTATATTTTATATATTCATCGGAAATATCACTTTCATTATACTTTTATCCTTTAAAACAGAATAACTAATCATAAAAGCATTTTTGAGTTCAAAGTTCTTAAATATATCTATTTCTGTTTAATATTAATAATGTTTCTGAAGAAGTTTTTATGATTATGGTTTGATATTTTTTATTTCGACGAAATTAAAATTAAGTAATTAATGGAGTATGTTGTTTTCGATCCATTGTACAAATCTTATTTCCAGAAAAAAATAATGCTATCAACCTATTATTAACAATATAACTAGTTTTGATTTACTCATTATAACCTCACAGATGAAAAGTACGCACTTAAATACTGAAAAAGTACGTTTAGGACTATTTTCTCTAGTCACAATCAAAGATATTCTTGACAGTCGGACTGTTTCTACTGATGTCAAGATGAAAGATAAACGTATACTTTCTTCTATTCTTTATTTAGAAAGAAGAAAAAGTTTGCCGCTAGTACTCCTGTATAGATTACAACAAATATCCAACAAGCAATAGGTGTGTTTTCCTATTTACAGTAAGAAAAAACAATTGCAAAAAGAAAGTGTAGATTATCATAATCATAGAAACCATCATACGCAGTAATTTTATTCAATCTGACACTTCTAATTATCTACAACCTGTAGGAAATCATGCATTCTCTTACTCAAAGAATATATTTCAATTTACACTGTTAATTCTTGCTTGTCAAAAACATTTCATTTTTTTAATTAAAAACTACAGTTATATGGATTAAAAAATAAGATTTTATTTGAAGAAAGTTCTTATTAACTTATCTGCTATTATTTTAATACAGACGAAGCTCTTTTTTCTCAAAACTATTGGAAAACTTAAACAAATCACGAATATCATATCATGTCATCAGTAGCACAATCAATTCTTATTGCTTCACAACAATATACAATCTATGTCAGTTTCATTATTTTATTTTCTGGTGTTTTTGGACATATTTTCAACATTCTTATATTTACTCATCTAAAAATTTTTCGAGGAAATCCATCAGCTATATATCTTATTTCTGAATCAATTGTTAATCTATTTCAAATGCTTATATCATTTTCATCTCGTATTGCAATCAATGGATTTAATAATGATTTAACACAAACATCAATTGTTTGGTGTAAATTAAGAAATGCATTTGTTCCAACTTTTACACTCATTTCACTCAGTATTGTTTGTTTTGCTGCAATTGATCAATATTTATCAACAAATCATTATCCATATTTAAGACAAATGAGTACAACTAAGACAGCTAAAAATCTCATTACTCTAGCAATTATCATTTGGTGCTTACATAGTTTACCACTTCTAATTTTGTTTGAAATTAGACCAATAGCCGGATGTAATATATATAATCAAGGTATGATAACTTATGTTACATATGTCTATTATCTCATCCTTACTGGTGCATTACCAATAGCAATATCAACATTATTTGGTATATTAGCGTATCAAAATGTTCGTCGTATTGTACGACAACAAATAGCAGTACGTCGAAGAAAACTTGATCAACAATTAACAGCAATGATAATTGTTCGAGTAGGTTTTCTAGTTGTTTTGACAGTACCGTATGTTTTACAACGAATTTATTCAAATGTTGTATATATAAGTAAAGAGGATGTAATTCATAAAGCTGTTCTACAACTTGTTGGATCTGTAACTATTTCATTATTTTATCTAAATTATTCGGTATGTTAAATTTATATACTTGTTTTAATTATTTTTTTTTTCTTAATAAATTTAGGGTTCGTTTTATTTATTTTTAATATCATCCGGACGATTTCGTCGACAAGTAAAAAATGTTTTTCTACATAAATTTTGGAGAATTTATTGTAGAAATCGAATACGTCAAAATCAAATTTTACCATTGCCAACCGTTTCCAGTGGTGCATTTGATTTACAATCAATAAATTAACAAAACAACAGATCATTTGACTATTTCTCGTTTTATGTCTGTTTTATTTTCAAGAGTAAAATGAACAACATAAAAAAAAATGTTAATGTTTATTAGTTCTAGATTTGAATCAATGTATATTTTTCTTTGCCATGTACATACAAAACTAAAAATAGAAAATGTAAATAAATTATTTAATATTTTTTTCACGATATTTTACTTCATCAAATAGAATAGAATTTCCATCATTTGAATCAATAGTATCAAATTCTTGTTTTAAACTATCTTCATCTAGACTATTTTCACCTAATAAATTGAAACCTTTTTGAAATTCTTGAAAATTAATACGATGATCATCGTTTGTATCTAATTCTTCGAATATTTTGCTTATTTCATCATATTGTTTAAGTAATTGAACAATTTTATCAAACTCTTTTAATTCAACCAAACCATTCTAAGAAATAAAAAAAAATGAATTTATCATCTTCTTCTTTTTTTTATTCTATATTATACTCCACTAGTATCAGCTGCTTTATATGCTCGTAAGATTGCTTTTTTATTCGTACCAAATTGTGGGTAAAAATAAATAACAGCGCGTTCAATTTCTGCTAATGATAAATGACCATTACCATTATCAAATTGTTTGAATAACTGAATAAATAGAGTGTTTTCAAATTGAAATAATATATAATACTTACTTTTTTTGTTTCTTCTTTACTCATGTTGTTTTAGAAATGCAGAGTAAAATAAAAGCGAGTATTTTTTATTAAATTGACATGGAAAAAGAAAATTCTTCAAGGTTACCTTTTTTTTCTAATGAATAATAGAATATAATCGATAAAATATGATTGACATTTCTCTTTTTTCTTTGAACGGAGAAAATAAAACTAATTATAAGAGTAAAATGTTTCTTTTAGCTTTGGAAACACAAATGACGGTATTATAGGATTCATTGCTACGAGAAAAAATAATAAATCGTAATCTGTCAATATATATAATGAAATATGGAGGTCATTGTACGTTTTAAAATGACAGTATGGTATTACATATAACTGTTGAATGTTCAATTGAAGTCGACAGATTCAATCTGACCAAATTTCTGTAAAAAATAAACCTTAAGTAACAATCATTCAGTCAATATATTCCATAAACTAGTCTGTTCTTTTTAAACGTGAGAGTGTAGATGTATGGGCTTGTATACATTTATAAAGCCTAAATTTTATATTTACTGAAAGATATCCACACTCATCCTACAAAATTGACCTTGATTATGTAATATCAAAAACAATAGGTAATTTTGATGAATATTTGATTGATACAATCAGTTATGTTACTGTTAAGTGAGAAAATCTTGTCAACAAATAAAATTATCAAAATTGAGTCATAAGAAAAGAAACTTTATGATGAACGTATAAGTCGTGATAAGAGAATTCAGTTCATTTCTTCTTTACTCATTTAAAATTTTTAAAATATAGTGCTACTACAATTCTTTAATAATCTCCTTATTTTTTCCCAAAATATCTCATACTTTATTAATAAACAACTCAATTATTTCATAAAAGTCTAAATGATATATTAACTTTCATTGTGTTAAAATCTTCAGTTATTTTGATGATGATAGCTGACTACACGTCTTTTGATTAAAATTTTTGCATTACAATAGAATTTGTCAAGTAGACTGAATAGATATACAGATGAATTTTTGACCTTCAGTTAGTAATTGCTTTAAAGATCAATGACAATAGCATTACATAATAATTATGTTCCTTACTGTGTATACTATGTCATGGATGCAGTGGAAAAAACAAAAATTACTAATCCTTGAGAACACATACGGAAGAAAATAAGGAAAATCAATCTATACATCTTTTTTGCTTTGGCTTCGCATTAGTAGAGTAGAAAATGAATAAACACAGTACTCTTTCTTCAAGAAAAACGTTGATGTATGTCTCATTGCGTCATATTACATATGTCTAAAAATATTAATCAGGATATATATATATAGAAAGAATAAATATATCACACAACAAATCAGACAAGAAAAAAGATAGAATACTATATAACCGATTTTTCACAACCGATAACAAGAGAATAATTTTAGGTATAATCGAGAGAGCAAATACAAACTAGCAATGAGTTCAAGTGACGCAAGTACGTGTTTTCATCGTATTGTTTGAACATGGTTTGACTGAAATTGATTTCTTATTAGATGATAAGACAATTCGAGCAGCTGAAATAGTCGAAGCTCATATCACTGGTCGGGATACACCTGCAAGTGATCCACATAAAAAAGCTGATGCTGAAAATCAAGGTTGGATGTCAGGTGATCAATTTACTATTTCTGAAACTCCTGTAGCACCTCCAGGCGCAACAGTCGGTACCAAGTGAACAAACATTATATTCTAGAATCGGCAGACTGATAAAATTGGGTTTTTTTTGTTAAATAAAACCTTTCCCTAACCTGACTTATCAATATACATATATATGGCATGTTTCAAGTAGAACAAACCTTCACTGGAAATCGCATGTGTGTTTATTTTAATCAACTAATAAAACATATATTTTGTCAAATCTAATGTAGACCAATAATAATAACGTAAATTCTATTAGGGTGATTGAATGAATTATTTTATTCGAAAAAAGATGTTTATCATGTCAATATACTACTTCTGCGTATCAGTCGAAATATTTTTGCGCTCATAAATTGATTGTACTGACAAAATAATGAGTTTAGTTCATATGTTTTATATAGTAAATATCTGATCTTGATATGAAACTTAGTATCTAATAATTTCAACTGAAGTAACAAGATACATTTGAATACAAAAACCACGAATATGAGTATCATAACTGATAATATGTTTTTGTTCTACTTAATAATTAAATTTTCTACTTTCTCATTCTCTTTCATTTTGCTCTGAATACAATCGTCCTATTTCAAAAAAAAAGTTCTCTGTGGTACTTTAGTTTTGTATTCATGCTATTCACAGCAGTATTTACATTTTCTAAAAAAGAGATTTCAGAAATCACCAAGTACTAAAAGAGAAGTTTCGAAAGTTATATATACATGACTCACTCCCAATAATTTCGGAAATTTCCTTCTTAAGAAATTTGAACACTGCCGTTCTTTTGAAATAACTGATACAAACGTGTTGTAAGTAAAGAAAAAAAGCTTTTCACATATAAAGTGAGGAGGAGAAAGAAAAAGAATTTTCCAACAGTCTGTATTTCATTGAAGTAGTAATATTAAAAAACCAAGTGAATTTCATAAATAAATACCCAGGCAAATAATATCACTATAAAAAAGCAGGCAAAAAAGGAAATTTTTCATATATTTTGATAAAGATCCAAAAGACACATATTTTCATTATTCAGTGCAAGAATATGGCAACAGTATTAACCTCAAGCATAGCCAGCAGTACAATATTAGAAAATGTGGTTAAATGTACCATTTGCTTCGATTCTTATGATGATCGTCGTTTACTTCCATGTTCACATAAAACTGAAAATATTGGCGATGTTCGTCTATATTTAAATTCATCAAAGCAAAACTATTCAATTGTCCTTTAACTGTCTACATTCTAAATTATAATGATATTCTTATATACAAAGAAAGTTTTAAATTATCTGAGAATAATTCTACAACATTGAATTGGATAACGATTCCGATGAAATACCAAATTAAACATAATTTTTGTTTATTTCTCTGGGCACCAGCTAATCAAGAATTGATACCAATGATAACCTATAAAGATTCTAATCATAATTTGAGAAAATTAAATGAACACATTTCAATAAGAGGTAAATGTGCTCAAATCAATCAATCAACTGATCTTCATCCAAATTCAAAAATTGAAGTTTTATATGATGCATTATCTAGTATTGATGATGATCAAAATGAAACAACAATACCTGCGTTAGAAATGATTTTACACATCTAAAAACATAATATAAATCTATAAACAAGAAAATAAAATGTTATTCTGTTTTTTCTTTGATTAATAAATTCTATTTGTTAATTTTTGAAAATAATATTTTCTACTCTTTATTTTGTTAAAAAAAAAGAAAATTTTATTTCTATATGTGAGACTGAGTGTCTGTATAGCAGAAATAACACCCACACTCACACCATCAAGAAATATTATAGATATTTTGAATACCTTCGTATATGAACCATACATATCTTTTGATATTTTCAAATATAATATGTATGATTTCTGTTGAAGATGCAATCATCTCTTATTTACTCGTTCATAATAAGTTCATTCTCACTTGTACTTTTAAAGTCTTCCCCTCCCAACTATATAACATCAGTCTATAGATAGCATTAGTTAATCGAAATTTAGTCAAAAAATGGTCACAACTATAAAACTAATTGTCGTCTTCTAGTTTTTCTATTAATGAGCATATTCGATTATGGTTTTTATTGATCTATTCATATAATTTACTCTTCATAATTAAATGTTTACTAACATTCTGTTCTACTTTTTCATTCTCGCATTGTCTTCCGTTTGATAAGAGTTCTATCAGTAATTTCATATAAAAAACAGAATTTTATCTACTAAAATAATCTCACAAAAAATATACAATGAATGCATCCAATGATCGAATATGACAAAAATCATAATTTTCTTCATTATTATCCAGTGTCACATACTCAAACACTATATTTCATCATATATTCATTTCATAAGTATAGAAAACGATCTTCGAAAAATCT